AGAGCTCCCGACAGCCGAGTCTCCGACCCGGGCCCATACGAACGGTGAGGGAGGGTAAATCCTCCCGGAATACGAGGACTGCAGTAGATGCCCGCCAATGCCCGTTTCCCGAAACGACGATCTGCCTATGAGGGTCCAGATGCTGTGTCCTTCCATGCAAAACTGCGAGCCGCTATGACCCGGCGCGAGGGGCGGGTTGCCTGCTGTAAACCCCTGCTTCTGTCGAGCGACCGGCATAGGCCCCGAACACCTGCAACCCGACACCAATCCATCTCGGTGTGGTGGGCTGCTGTGAAATAGGTTCATTGTGTGCAGAACTGCAAGGGAGCAGAGAATGACAAAGGCCCCCTTCAGGAGGTTTTGGAGGGTGTGCTGTTAACCGTAATTATGTAATTGAACTAAGTTGGAGTGGTTGGGGGGCGTGTACCTGAGGAGCGCGCACCGCCTCCCCCAGGGAGTCAAGGACGTGTCCCACCCTCAACCTTCAACCCTCCACCCTGAGCCCCTAAACCCTAAACCCCCAAACCCTAAACTACCCTAAACCCCTGCAGCACGCCGAATGGAAGCTCCCCAAGGCCCCAACAGCAGCTCTCCAATGGGTGTACTGGAGGGGCCTACATAATTACTGTACCTATAATAGCACAGTGGGCCCCAAAACCCTATTGAAATTATTGAGGCTCCTATAGTATACCACGAGCGCGCGCTGCTTCTTGGTTTGACGTGGGCCCCTTGCGTCTGAAAGTCTCGATTTATCAGCTGGCGAAGCAGCAAGTTGTGTTTGGGGATACCTGGCACAGTTTTCAATTTCCATGCCCCAGGAATGAAAACCCAAGGGTAGCATGCCCGTACGCTTATAGACTCACAAGTTTCCCCCGGCATGCCCTCATCGTTCTTTAAGCTTGAAGCCCTAAACCCTAAACCCTATAGTGTAGATTTCCCGAATCCAGCCTACGGAGGTTCAAGGTAGAGAAGCAAGCACGGCCCGGAGCGGCCACCCACTTCCAAAGGGCAGTCGCTAGCGCCTCGGTGGACGAGGCAGATCTGGTGGTTTCATGTGAAATTCGCCAGGGTTTCGGTTTCAGGACTTACGGTTTAGGTTCAGTTTTTCGTAGGGTTGGATTAGGGGCTTTAATAGGGGTTACCCAGAGAGCCCAAGACCCCTTAATTAAGGAATATAGCTTAAATCATAATATGAAGCCCTATGTAATTTAAGCCATATTCCTTAATTAAGGGGTATTGGGCTCTCTGGGTATAGGGTGTTGCTAGTTCCTTTACTATTACCGGATAAAGGGCTTTGAAGGGAATTATTGGCGAGTGTATTGAAATTACGCGTAATTCATGGGCAGCTTCGTACCGCGAAGTTCCCAGAGATTTCGAAACAACTTTCCTCGATACGGCTGAGGGTTTTTATTGTGATGGAGTCTCCTTACCTGCGTTGACTTGTATTTGATGCCGGGAGAAGTGAATGTTGTGCTGGTTGATGTCTGAAGCTGCCAGCGAACAAGAGTTCTAAGCAAGACTCATTCCCCGAAACCTTACAATCCGAACTACGGGCTAGGATTAGGGAGCCCTGGCTGGGACTGTAAGTGAAGACCTACATCAGAACCTTGCGACATGAACCTTCCAGAAACTATTCCACGATGTTTTCCAAGAAAAGCTTGCATGCTCACGCCTGAACCTTAAGTAAGCTACCCTAAACCCTAAACCGTTAAACCCTAGGCTCGAAAACCCTAAGTCCTTGAGCCCTAAAGCTTAAGGTCTTAAGCCCTAACCTCAATAAGCATATGGGAGTTTCCTAAAATTAGGGGTAGCTGATTTTGGGTACCTTTTATAATCAGGATCCTACTGAGTGGCGGCCATGGCATAGGTTTGTCTTGTCTCTGGAGCAGTACAAGGACTCTAATAACAACGAGGAAACCCGAAATGTTCAGGGTTTAGGGGTCCAAGTATCTGAGAAGCATATGGGGGTTTCCGAAAATTAGGGGTAGCTGATTTTGGGTACCTTTTATAATCAGGATCCTACTATCTAGGGTACTAGATTAGGGTCCCCAATTTTTGGAAGCTCCCATATACTACTTTCCCAAAGACTAACCTACAAGACTACTATCCTACACCAAAGTTTAGGTCCTCTGGACCCTGACGGAAAGGGGTTTTGGGATTTGTCCATGTAACTAGTCAGCGACTATAAAGGGACTAGTATTACGAGTTCTTCAGCCCCTGCTTTGTTCGTATCATGTACCATTTTCTCAGGGACCCCAAATGGACAGACATAAGCATAAGCATCTTATAGGGATATCCGTACCTTATTGAGCCGCATCATACGGGGGTTTATCAGGGATATCTCTTTCCTCCTTTTTGCTTATGAGCTGTTTTGGGGCAGTAGTCTCTTAACCCTGGACCCGTGAAGCCCTAAGCTCGGGGGACGGACTAAGTGACTAGTTATTTTGGTTTAGGGTTTAGGGTTTAAGGTCATAGCCCCAATTAGGATCCCCTTTAGGGTACCTACAAGTCTGCATGTTACCTACTAGGTCCCTAGACCTTGCAATTAAACCCTGAGACGCCCCAAGACAGAACGAGCCCTTTGGCAAAAAGCATCTCGGAAGACTCAGATGGCAAAGGAGCAAGCAAGCAAGGGCCGAAGTTCCGGCCACACAATGGTGACTCGCGGCAAAAGAGAGGTCGGAATATTTACCAACAGTATCCCCTTCAAGCTGCTTTCTAACATTTTATAGTACGTTTTCAGTACACCTCAAAACCAACTCTATTCTAATTATTCAGGCCCCTATACTAAACCCTTACAGTAGCCCTTATAGTAGCCCTTAGACCCCTTTAAAGGAATCAGGCCCCCACATTACTTGGTTTAATTGCCCGAGGTATGAGGTACCGTAGCACTATGAAGGCTTACCTTCCCACGGTGCGCAACTGGTTGCTATTGCGGCTTTGGGCTTACGGTTTAAAGTCTAGGTTAAGCTTTTGGTGTAGTAAACAAGGCCCCAAGCGCCAAGCCCACGTCATACTGGGCTTCTTAACCTAAGTGGTTTCTTGTTTTTTGTTTTAAGCGTAACTAAGCAGGTTTGTCAAGAAGGTAGTGGGCTTCATTGATTCATCATCTGTAGATAAGGCCGTATGCCCTAAATACCTTCCCCATTCGGGTGCTCCTGAAGCACTCACGGCCTCTCATTGAAGCTCGCTCCACCCATAAACCTGCAAGAGCGTGGTTTTGGGAGAAAAGCGTGTGCGCCGAAACCGAGACACTCAGGTACTTAACCTACTGTTGTTCGTGGGTGGGGTCCAACTAGAAACCCTGATGCACAATTTTGTGGTGACCGTACAAACAAAAGGTCGGCCCTAAACCCTAAAGCTTGGTCGCGCTGAGCCTTAGTAATTAGAATAGGGTTTGGGGGCCTAAACCCCAGGCCCTAAACCGTAAACCCTAAACCATAGTAGCATGGCTCTACCTACTAGGTATTCCGACTGTAGCAGGAGGAAAAGGGCCCTCAAACAAAGAACAACCACTAGGATGCCCAATAGTACCCTTATTCCCTTTTTGTAGTCCTAGGTTCCTTATAAAGTTACCCAATACCAAAAAGAGAGGCCTTTTTTATTTTTAGGTTACTGGGTATCCTAGACCATAGTAGCAGCTTCAGATGGGAGTTTCCGAGAATAGGGGACCCTAATTTAATACCCCCAAATAGTAGGATCCTTATTATAAGGACTCCAAACTAAGGTACCCCTAATTTTTGGAAACTTTCAGATGTATAATCTGGAACCTACAGTAGAAGCCAGAAATTTAGAACATCATTATCCTCATGCCCTTAAGGTAAAGTATAAGGGATCCTAGCACTAATCCTCCTAAAGCCATGTTCCAACTTTCTGGCTTCTACTGCAAACCCTAAACCCTAAACCCTAAACCCTCTTCAGATGTTTGCTTGAAAGACTCATGGTTTTCGGCTCCTCGAGGAGTTTAGGGTCTCGGATCCCTGGTTTTTGGCTTGTGAATCCTTAGGGGTACTTAGATTTTTTTTTTAAATTTTTGGTTGTTATTTACGGATTATATTAACCAAAAGCTAAAACTTAGAGATAAGTTTTAGCTTTTGGTTAATATAATCCCTAAGAAACAGCTAGAGTTATAATTTTTGCTAGGGTTCTAAGTTCAGTATAGAATCTTTGTCATAGTTGGGGTAGCATTTTACATTTATATGGGTACTTGAACCCAATAAGGAATGACAATGTACGTTTGCAACCCTATCCCAACAATGAACAAAAGGATTGAGCACATCACGAAGCCATAGACGTAATGTAGCCTAAGCCCGAAACCATCAGCCACCTTTGCGACATTTGAACAACGTATCGAAAGTCTTTACTGGAGCTAAAGCCCTAACCCAAACGCAATGAAATCCTGAAGCCGTAGCCCTTGTCGATCCTGTCCAGAAGTTCTCCTCAAGCCCTGAAGCCACAAGCTCTGAACCCTGGCAGCCCTAGCAAGGCCTACATCCCTAGAGACACCAAAACCCAAAATACTCCCACACTTCGACAGCTTTGAAGACGCAAGAACTCCATGGCATTCTGTGTACAAGCTCGGATGTGGAAGGGGGTGAGAGTTGACCATGTGCGTACCGAGACAGGTCAGTGCCCCGCGCAATGCAAGTTTAGAACAACGACTGCTGCAATTCCCCCGACTAGCCTAAACCCTAAACCCTACATCCTAAACCCAGAACCCTGAGCACGACGGCACAAAAGCAGCAAAGCCCTAAACCTCCCGTACTTGAAGGGCCGGGGATTTAGCAAGCAGTTAACAAGTTCATTGACATGTAAGTATCGTAACCCAATGAGGACCCTTGTTCGGGGATTTAGTAAGCAGCTAACATGTTTTTTGACTTACAAGTATCGTAACCCCAATGAGGACCCTTAATCGGGTACTTATATGTCTACTTATTTACTGCTTGCTAAGTCCCCCGACGCTCCAAGTACAGAGCCCCGAAGAGACACCCTCTTGACAGGTGCAGCGCCACCGCCAGCTCCAGCAGCATGCTATTGAGCAGCGCCAGGCAGGTTTTTGTTAACATGGGATTTTCTGCGGGTTCTATGTCGGGTTTTGTAGGCAGTAGATGCCAAAGTTGCTTGCTTGGCATTGTAAGTTTTTCTGTATATGCTGTGATTGTATGGGTTTTCTCAAGCCATGTATATGATTTGTCACGTATTGATGAAGATGCTGCCAGTACGGAGGCAATGGGCTTGTCGTCGCCTCTGACGTTCTTGCTGGTAAGGACTTCGTCGATGGTGACGCTGATATCATCCCTAAACCCTAAACCCTAAACCGTGATGATGGTGATGATGATGGCGAGTTCAGGCCTATTTTCAACACTGCCCTGCCAGAAGCCTTCAACCTTGAACCCAACCCCCAACCTCACAAACAGTCCATGCAGCACCCTTTAGTAGCCGGTAAAGAATCCACTTGAAAGGAGCCACAAAGAACCCCTTTCTGGCCCCTTGAAGGAACGCTTAGAGGACCCCGTAAAGGACCCCTTCAAGGACCCCTTCCTAAACCCTAAACCCTAAGCCCTAAAGTGCCTGACATGGTTCTGGAACAGGCAGCCATCGCCGAAGAGAAGATCCGCCGTGCATGGGGCCCTGTGAGGATTCATTTCTTTTGGGGTTCTAGAACCCTAAACCCCTAAAAACCTGGACCCTAAACCCTAAACCCTAAACCCTTTGGGGCTCTCCTTAACTGGGATGCCCAGTAGTGCCCTTATTCCCTTTTTGTAGTCCTAGATTCCTGATTAGGTTACCCAATGCCAAAAAGGGAGCCCTCTTTATTCCTAGGTTACTGGGCATCCTAGTCAAAGGTTTCCCTAAAGGGTTTTAGGAAAATCGAGAAGGGTTCCAGGAGTTTGAAGGTTCGAAAAAAGGTTCTAGAAGGGATCGAGGAGGGATCTACATGGGATCGAGGGGTGCAGGGTCTAGGACTTGGAGTATACACCTTTTCCCTTTTTTAGGGTTCAGGTTCCCTTATAAGCCCCTTTAAACCAAAAAGGGTACCCTTTTATTCCTAGGTTACTCTTGGGGCTCTTTGGAGAGTCGGGGGACTTAGTAACTAGTTATTTTGGAGGCTCGTAAGTACCATAACTCCAAGTAGGATCCCTTTTAGGGTACTTACAAACTCTACTTACTACCTACTTACTACTGTTGATGGTATAATTACGGCATTACCTTAAGGACCCCAAACTATGGGAATTATGGTATATTCCTTATTATGGGTAATGCAGGATTTATATATCATGAACCGTAGGGCTCCCTGTTGCAACTATACTTTAGGCTTAGGGTTTAGGGTTTGGGGTTGATACCCCAAAGCCCCAAAATCGAATAGACAGGTAAGACTATTTGTCAGGGATCCGCCGCAGCTTGCAATGTGCGCAAGACCCTGTTTAAGCACATTTCAAGGACTATATTGGCTCCTGCATCCAAACCCTAAATCCTAAACGCCCAAGCCCCACCCAGACCCTAGATAACCTGCCGTTTCAAGAACTTATATAAAGAAATCACAATCAGGAGCCCTAAAAAGGTAGGTTTTATCGGGTCCAGGTAAACCCACCAAAAAAACCCGAAACCCTAAACCCTAAACCCTAAACCCTGAATCCTAAATCCTCAGCCCTAGGCCCGAAAAACCCATGGTAGCTCAGGCCGTGGAGCAAGAGAAGAAGAAGGCCAACGCCATCATGACCGAGGCTGCCCCTATATGGGAATTGCCACAAAAAATTAGGGGTACCGTATTTTGGGGTCCATGTTGTACGGATCTTACTATTTATTCATTTATTATTCATTTATCAGGGTGCCCCATTTTCGGACCCCCCTTCCCCCATCTGTCATGATCTTCAGCGGATTTGTTGGTTTAGGGTTAAGGTTTACTTCCTGAGTCCCAAATTCCTGAATCCCCAAACCCTCAAGTCCGACACCTCAGAATCCTGACTCCACATTGGCTCCCGAGGCCTTCTCCGCCTAAACACGCTGTACTTCCTACCACTAAACCCTCCGACATTCATTGAACTTTAGAGGATGCAGGCTAAGGGAAGACGCCCTAAGCCTCAGTAAGAGGGGGTGGAACGCTTCAACGGATTCAACACAGCAGGCCTAGATTCAAACGGGCTCAGCCTAAGCATGCTGCCCATGTCGGCTGTGGCTTCAGGGTTTCGGCCTTTGGATTAGGTTGCACAGGGTGCACAATGGCCTCGTAGAAACTTGCCAGGCCGGACTAGACCTCATATTCCCACTTCCCAATGAATACCGTAGTAAAGAGAGAGTAGGGACCCCGCAGACAACTAGGTCAAAGTAGCCATCCATCCCCCATCCGCCGCTTCCAAACACAATACAACAAACGCTCGCGACAAGAACTGGTTCAATACCTACGGCAGGCAATTTTTACCGGCTAGAGACATATCGGGTCCCCAGCAGTACCCTTATGCCCTTGTTTATTTATGAGCTCTCCTTATCATATACCCTAAACCCGAAACCCTGTAAGGAAAAAGGGGCATCTGCATCCTTGTGGGTAATGATGCTGGACAACCTAGTTTACGCCCCCTGGGAAACAACCACTAACCCTAACCCTAAACCCTAAACCCTAGAGGAACTCTAGCGCCCAAACCGCCAGACACTTGAGCTGCCCTAAATCCTAAGCCCTCAACCTCCCCCCCCCTCAACCCCAAAATTCCTAATCCCTAGACCCTACATGAACAACTAGGTTGCTGACAAAACCTCAAGCCTTAAGCCCTGAAGCCTAAACCTCAAACCCCAAAACCCCAAACCCTGAACCCTAAAACCCAAACTCTTACACCCTAAACCCTAAACCCCAAAACCTAAACCCTAAACCCAAGCCCCTAAACTCCTAAACCCTGAAACCCAAACTCTGACCTTTAAACCCTCAGCCCGAAACCCTTCGAAACCCTGAACCCTCCACCCATAAGCAGGGTTATAAGTAGGGTAACCTTATAACCCATATTAGGAGACTTATAACCCCTGCATATTTAAGCCCTAAAACCCTAAAGCCCAAACCCTATTTAAAGCCTAAGCACTAAATTCAGTTAAACCTTGAACTCTTAAACCCTAAACTCCTAAACCCCAAAATTCATTTAAACCCTAAACTCCTAAACCCTACACTCCACTTAAGAAAAGACCCTAAACCCCAAACCGCAGGTCGTGGAGAAGAGGCAGGCCGCAGCAGTTGCCAAGCTGGTCAAGGCTCCCTGGGACAGGCGCGACGGGGGGAGTTTAGGGGCCCTTTTAGGGGATCCTTCAAGGGTCTTTTAAGGGGTTTAGGGGCTCTTTAAAGGGGATTCTTTAGGGGTCTTTTTAGGGGTTTAGGGTTTAGGGGTTTAGGGGTTTATGGGGTTTAGGGTTTAGGGGTTTAGGGGTTTGGGGTTCAGGGTTTGGGTCTAGTCAAAGGGGAAAGGAGGGACACTTACCCTATAATGGGCTATATAATGGGTATATAATAGCTATATTAAGCGTATATACCTAGGGGTCCTTATTAAGGGTCCCTCCTGTTGCCCTTGGATTTAAGGGTTCTTTACGGGATCCTTTAAGGATGCTTTTAAGGCCAACTGCCATAGATTCTATGGCAGTTTTCTGCGGGTTCTACTTGGCGATGTTGGGACGTGTTCACAAACCCCCGGAGTCCGCACCGGATGATTGTGCAGCCCGAAAATCCTGCAGCGCATTGAGGGCTGACCCAAGCAGCTCCCAACACATAAGCCCCCCCTAGACTCGAAACCCTAAGCCTTAAACCCTAAACCGGAAGCTCTAAATCCCACGCCCTAAACCAAGGTAAATCAGCTCTAAACCCTAAGCCCTAAACCAAGGTAAATCAGCTCTAAACCCTAAAGCACAAACTAAATTCGAGGTAAATAGCTGGACAAGGGCATCGCCATCGACGGGTGGAGCCCTGAGTGTCGAAGCTTCGCCGGAGTTGCCTTGTTAAGGATTTCTGCAAGGAAATCAGCTAAACTTAGATCGGGAACGGGGGAACTTTAAGCTTTTTGGCCTTATATATTAGCTCTATCTTAGAAAGTTTGAGCTTTTTGGGGCCCGGTTGTTGAAGAAGAGAGTAAAACCTAAACCCTACTTGGAGGGTTGGGGGACTTAGTAAGTAGGTAATATGTAGGCTTATAAGTCCCCTAAAAGGGATCCTAATTGGGGTTATGGTACTTATAAGTCTCCAAAATAACTAGTTACTAAGTTCCCCGACCCTCCAAGGAGGAATCCTGCAAGGGCAAGTTACTCAGGGTTCAGGTAGGGTTTAGGGTTTAGGGTTTAGGGTTTAGGGTTTAGTTGGCTTGTCTCGAAAGCACGGGGTGCCCTAATTCCGGAAGCACTTTGAATTTCCGAAACCGTGAACCCTGAGCACAAATCCCGGCACGGAAAGCCCACTAATATAGTATAGTACCGTAACATCTACTAACATCGTAAAATACAACGAAATACAAACTAGTATACCATAGTATCATGAAGTATAACATAGTATAGTACAACATAGTAGAACATTTCACAGCCTGGATTAAGAAATGTACCTCATGGGGCCAAGGCTTTCAAAGTACGTTCGAGGTTTCTTATCAAGACTCAGAGTATAGATGAAGGAACATGCCTCACTTCCGACACCCTAAATGCCAAACCCGAGACCCCAAACCCTCACCTAAACCCTAAACCCCTAAACCCAAGATTAGGTGCCCTAAGCCCTAACCCCTAAAACCTAAACCGTGCCCAAGCCCCAAACGCTCAACCCTAAACCCCAAACCCCAAACTCTCAACCCTAAGCCCTAAACACTAAACCCCAAACTCTCAACCCTAATAAACACTAAACCCCAAACTCTCAACCCTAAACCCTAAACCCCAAACCCCAAACTCTCAACCCTAAGCCCTAAACACTAAACCCCAAACTCTCAACCCTAAGCCCTAAACCCCAAACCCCAAACTCTCAACCCTAAGCCCTAAACACTAAACCCTAAACCCTAAACCCTAAACCCCTAAAGAGTCGAGGCTTGTTGCGACTTGCTGGGTTTCACCGGGGCAGTTAGCGAAGCGAAGCCAAGCGACACTGCTTTGGCCGCCTCCGGCAACGGGAGTGAGGAGTAGGAACATTAGGGATTTAAGGCATTTAGGGATTTAGGGTTTAGGGTTTAGGGATTTAGGGTTTAGGGGTTTAGGGTTTAGGGTTTGGGGTTCAGGTTTGGGGTTCAGGGTTTAGGGCAGGGGCCGGCGTTGGCGTCACGGTGGGTGTAGGCAGCAGTCGGAATATGCGTAGGAATTAGCTCAAAAGTCGCAGGAGTAGGAGCAATAGTCGTCGTCGTAGTCGTGCAGGCTTTTGATTAAGGTTTAGCTTAGACTCATGAATCGAGCGGAGAAGAAGCTTGGATAGGGTGGCGTGGGCACAATCTGCCGCGGGGTGTGGCCACTGAGCGCAAAGCCGCACGCGCTCTGCACTCTAGAGCCGAGTCCTGGGACCTAAAGCCACAACCAGTGGATGCCTTTGGCCCCAGGCCCTAACCCTAGACCCTGCACGCCTACAACGTCAACCGGAGCAACCTAAACCTGTAAATCCTAAGCCTGTCGTGGGGAGTGTGTGCTTCCTAGTTTCACTTCGACTTTTTAGGTTTATGGAACGGTTTGGCTGGCTGGCCCGCTGGCCTGAGGAGCTGGGCAAACACAAAGGCTTTAGGAAGTTTTAGGGGTTTAGGGTTTAGGGGAAGCCATCAGGATCAGGTTGGGTTTCGCCCATAGACTGATGGTAAAGCTCTTCCAGTACCTTAGCCTCATTGTTGAGGCCCAAAACCCAAAACCCTAAACCCTAAACCCTTTCAGACATTGTTCCGAACCCCCGACCGAAGACCCAAACCCCAAACTTCCGTAAACCCAAACCTTAAATCATGAGTGTCTGAAACGGTGGCCCTTTAGAGGAAGCTACAGAGCTGCAACTCAGGGTGAGGGGTTTTGATATGTTTAGATTGGTTTTGTGCCTTCGAAGGATCGAAATTTAGCATTAGTCTTTGGGGTGTGGGCCCCTATGAAGATGCTGAGCTGCAGCTACGGCTGCTGCGGCCTGCTGCCGAAGGCACTGTACAACTAGGGATGTTAGTAAGTAACATATCCTTACTTCCATGTGGTTAGAGCGAAAGCCACCGTAAATCCAAATCTTTAGCAATACTTGGGAGTTGCAGAAAATAGCAGACAAGAGCTTGGTAGAAGATGCCATTTCAAAGAGAAGACCCGTAATCCCGATCCTTGAATCCAACGAGGGCCCCAGTACTCCTCATGTTTCACCTGCAATTGCCTGCTGAATCTCCACCTGCTGTGTTCTTGGGCACAACATCCGCGCTTTTGCTGTGAGCTTTCGAATCTTCCGATAAGGGATGATATGGACCCGCTTAGTGAGAAATGTTGTTCCTGAGGGTTCCTTACCTTAGATCGGGAACGGGGGAACTTTAAACTTTTTGGCCTTATATATTAGCTCTATCTTAGAAAGTTTGAACTTTTTGGGGCCCGGTTGTTGAAGAAGAGAGTTACTGTAGCAGAAAGAACTATGCAGGTCTCTACATCAATCGAGCGTTCGTCCATGCGTAGTAAAGTAGCCACTCTAAATCCTAAACTCCTGTGTGGCAGGGTTAGAAACTCGGATCCCCAATACCCAACCTTTAAACTTTTTGGCTTCTTATAGTTTAGTAGGACTCGGAAAGTTTAACCTTTTATTTCTGTGGCTTGTTGGGGGAGTAAGGAAATACACAGTCCGAAGACCGCAACACCCCAAAACCACAAACCCAAACCCAACGCTCAACAAAAACCGAAACTCTAAGCCCTAAAACGAACCCCACAACGGTCCAAAGTACCTTAGGTTTTGCCGCTGAGGAAAGTAGTAATTAATGTAGATGAATCTTCGGATAGTGGATGATTGTTATGATAGGCACTTTTAGTCTTAACTCCGAACCTCAAATCCTAAACCCTACTTGGAGGATCGGGAGACATAGCAAGTAATGAGTAGTGGTTTTCTGAAACTTCAAGCATCAGAACACCCATTAGGATCCCTTCTAGGGGTACTTTGATGTCTGGTTATTGCCTATTTACGAAGTAAACTCGCAAATCGAACCTCACCTACCTACTAAGTCCCCCGACCCTCCTAACCTAGTATCTCCTTTGCGCACCCAAGAGCCTCTTGTAAGGCCTGTTTTCAGAGCTTCAGAGTGCGTCTTCCAAGCAGGCTCCTATGAAACTTTGAAGGTGCCCCAAACCTCTAGGGATTGGGGGTTTCGGGCTTAGGGGTTTAGCTTCAGGGTTTGGCATTTTGACCCGAAGGCCTGTGCTCCGCAATCACGACGCTTTCGGCTCCTTCATGCAGTCAGCCCCCCCCTCCCCGACCCACCCATGAAACGTGCGCCCTAAAGCCCACCCATAGGCCCCAAAGTAGTTCCTTTTTGGGATTGACTTATAGGATTCTAAATATGAACCCCAAAAGGAACTACTTTGGGGCCTTAGGGTAAAGCCTAAATCCTAAAGCCATGGCAATGCTGCTGGAGCTCCCGGTGCATGACCTTGCTGCGGGCAGCAAGCAGCTCCTACTTGGCAGTTTGGGAAACTTGATAATGATACAAGCCCATTTAATAGGGTTCTATAAGGGTCCGGCTTAAGATGTTAAGAGGCTCCTTTAAGGGATCTATAGGGTTATAGGGTTTAGGGTTAAGTAGATGATAAAAAACCCTGCATTACCTCAAGGACTCTACACTATGGGAATTATGGTATATTCCTTATTATGGGTCATGCAGGAATTATATCATCAACTGTATGGGTTAATAATTAGAATAGAGTTCCCTGTAAATGTGTCCTTTAAGGGTTCTATAAGGCAGCTATAGGGGTACTATAATGTAGCGGCCTTAATAATTAGAATAGCGTTTTGGGGCCCATTATCACTATACTATAACTACAAGAAGGACCTCCCCCCGCAATAGTATTGGTAATTATTTAGGCATCTACAGTAACGTCCCGAGGGCAGAGATACCTCATCATAAACCCGAGCCTAAACCGCAATCCCTGAACCTTAAACCTTAAACCCTCAACCCTAAACCGTAATCCCTGAACCGTAATCCCTAAACCCTAAACCGTACTCCCTAAACCCTAAACCCTAAACCCCTAAACCCCTAAACTCTAAATTGGAATTCTTAAACCCTAAAGGCTCACAACTACAACCCAGGCTTCTTCAAGCAGCCGACAACAAGAGCGGCCTTTCTGCGGACTCCTCATCGCACCTGAAGAAGGCTATAGGGGGCCCTGTTAGAGTTCCTTAAGGGTTCTTTAAGGGTTCAGGGTTCGGGGCTGAGGATTTGGGGTTTAGGATGTCTGTACGGTTTCTACGCAGTTCTATTTGGGGTGTTTAGGGGTCCGCGTCGCACGTGAAGAAGCCTGCTACTTACCCAGCAATGGTTCTTTTGGGGTTCTGTAAAGGTTTTTTTGGAGGGTGCTGTGGGGTTTTGGGGTTTTAATAGTAGGGTTTAGGGTTTAAGGTTTAGGGTTGATTTTTCTAAAGGGGTGTTTTATAGGGTTTAGGGGAAGAAGCCAAGGCGGGTGGGGCCCGAACATTACTGCTTGCATTCAGCTTCGGGGGTGGTGATGGTCCCTGCGTCTGAGGCCATTCCCATACATAGGGGCCAAAAAAATTTACCTACACTATTTTGGGAGTTCCTTATTCTGATTATAGTATAATGGGCTCCAAAACCCTATTCTAGTAATTAAGGCCCCCATATTACAGAACCCTGTCATAGATCCCTTATAGAACCCTTAAAGGAACCCTATTCGAATTGCTAAGGCCCGTAATATTATGTTCTGAACCTCTGCGCCACAGGTCCTGAGGCTTAGGGATCAGGGCCGACATCTGCTGCTGGGCCGGACTCTCGGACGCGTGTGGGGTCGCCCTTCTGCCTTTTTGTTTGCAGAGGGTTCGGGTTTAGGGTTTAGGATTTAGGTTTTAGGGGTTTAGATTTTTGGGTTTGGGATTTAGGGTTTAGGGGTTTAGTGTTTAGGGATTTAGGGTTTAGGGCTTTTTGTTTGCAGAGGGTTGGGGTTTAGGGTCCTTTAAGGGTTACGGTTACTGTAAAGGTTGCTACAAGGGTTGCTATAAGGGTTTAAGGTTTAGCGTTTCGGCTCTATCAAGGGTTGTTATAAAGGTTACTACAAGGGTTGTTTGTTGACACAGGCTTAGGGTTTCAACGAGAGGGTTACTAGAAAGAGTAGTGTACGGGTTGCTGTTAGGGCTTCGAGTTCAGGGTCAGCCCTGTGGCTTTTCGTAAACCCTAAACCCTAACCGCCCCTGAAATCCCGAAACCCTTAAAACCCTAAACCCGAAACCTTGTCAAGACCACTGTGAAGAGCATGTTTCAAAGGACCAACAATTTCGGGCTGAACCCTCGAGGGTTTAGGGTTGCCCTTCGAGCAATTTCTTAATGTTTCAATGCCCCCCAACAGTTTTCTTACCGAGCTCTTTACGGTTTCGGGTGTCGGGTCTACGCGTTAGTTAGGGTTAATAAGGAATCTACCATAATTCCCATAGTTTAGGGTCCTTAAGGTAATACAGGTTTTATATCATCAACAGCAGGGATTGCGTTTTGGGTGTAGGGGTTTCCTAAGCCTCAAACCCTACACCCCGCAAAGAGCCTAGGAATGGATGTGGCAAGACCACGCTGCTGAAGGCAATTGCGTCCGGGGAACTACCAGGCCGCCTCCCTGGGGGCGTAATGTAGTAGCCTTCATAGTTGGACTAGGGTTTCGGGGGCTCCTGATTATGATTAGTATAGTATACCCCCAAACCCTATTCTACTATCATTATTTTGTTCTGTGTCTTTTTAGGGTTTCGGGTTTAGACTGTAGGGTTTAGGGTGTCTTCAGTATTGCTGAGGTCCTGATCATGACTATAGCGTACTGGACCTCCAAACGCCCAACTCCAATCGTGTGAATTGTTCAGCCCGCAGCTCTACCATGCTTCATAGGGTTCCTTTAAAGGGATCTATAAGGGTTCCTTTAAAGGGATCCCTAGGGTTCCGTTAAAGGGGTCTATAAGGGTATCATAGGAGGCCAAAACGGGTTTTAGCCTATGGGGGTTTAGTAGGGATTAGGGTTCCCATAATAGGGTTCATATTAAGGAATCCCTACCCCAAGAATCTTAAACCCCCCTTTTGGCCTCCCATCATGTCTCTTTTAGGGTGTGTAGGGTTTTGGGGGGGTTAGGCCTTGGTATTCTGATGGGACTAATGTAAAGGGCTTAGGGTTTCCGGCTCGAGGGATTGTGCAGTGTTTAGGATTTCGGGTGTATCCTGAAACCGCTTCAAGCCTGCAGCTCTAAGCCCGAAACCATCCTGCTTTTCCCACACAGTCGTCCCTAAACAAACGACAGGACCATACTGCTGTTGATGGACAAAATCCTGCATTACCCAGTATAAGGAATATACCATAGTTCCCATAGTTTAGAGTCCTTAGGGTCATGCAGGATTTTGTCCATCTACAGTGGCATTTCGCTGCAACCTCTACACACTACACCTTCAGCGCGGACTCCTTGCATGCAAGCCCTCGACACCAACCCCTAGATCCGAAACCCTGAACCACCAAAATCCCCTAAGCCCCCTAAACCCCTAAACCCTGAACCCTAAGTCCCCAAATCCTAAACCCCAAGTCCCCAAAACAACCCGTACTCGGAGGGTCGGCGGACTTAGTAAGTAGTTACTTGATAGGGTTATAAGTACCGTAACACCCCCAACTAGGGTCCTTTTTTAGAGCATTGATAAGTCTACTTATGATCTATTTGCTAAGTCGGCCGACCCTCCAAGTAGAGTTTAGGGTTTAGGGTTTAGTGCTGATTTGTTGGCAACCGTTATAGTATAATATACCCCAAAACCCTATTCTAATTATCAAGGCCCCTAGAGTAAGCGTCTCGGAGCCCCAAACCCTAAACCCTAAATCCCTAAACCCTCAACTCTATATCCCCAAACCCTAAACCCCAAATCCCCAAAACAACCCTTACTAAGGCCCCTACATTACAGAAGCCTGTTATAGATCCCTGATAGAACCCTTAAAGGAACCCTACTCTAATGATCAGAGCCCCTACAGAAGCATCTTGGAGCCCTCAGGCTGGCCCAGATATCTGAGCTCGCACCTGGTAGACCAGGAGCCCGCCTCGGTTGCTTTGGGGCTTAGGGTTTAGGGTTTAGGGGTTTAGGGTTTAGGGTTTAGGGTTTTGGGGCTCAAGTTGCTGTGGTTTTTGTTAAGGAACTTAGCTATTATAGGGGCTTAAATGATGACCAATACTATTTTGGGGGTTCCTTATTATCAGTATAGTATTATGGCCCCCCCAAAAAACCCTATTCTGAGTATTAAGGCCCCTATATCAGGGTTTAGGGTTTAGGGCTCTTGCTAAGGGGCTTACTAGGAGGTCGGGGGACTGGGTTGTTCGTTTTTGCGGTTTGGGGTTGGGCTTGCAGGGTGTAGGTCAAGATCTGGGATCAAGGCCTTCGGAGCTATATTTAGGATGTCCTTAAGGGGGGGTGGTCCAAGGGGGGTAGGTAACCTAGTAATCCCCATTATTCCCCAATACTCCCTAAGCTTCCCTAAGGTTCCCCAAAGCTCCCTAGTACCCTCCCCCCTTGAACCACCCCCCCTTAAGGATCCTATAATATATGGGTGGTTGTCAAAGTTATGGTCCCTTTGTGGGTCCTTATTCTCATACGGCACCTGGTATTTAGGGTACCCAAAACGGGACCATAATAATTTTGACAACTACCCATATAGGGTCCAAAATTCAAAACCCTTGAATTAAGGAATACTCCTTAAATTCGAATAGAAACCCTTAACTAGGATGCTCAGTGTTACCCGTATTCCCTTTTTGTAGTCCTAGGTTCCTGATTAAGTTATCCAATACCAAAAAGGGAGCCCGTTTTATTCCTAGGTTACTGGCATCCTCGTAAAATGATTGAAGGTACATTCCGTAAAATAAACGGGTTTTGGAGCCTCTGGGTATCTTCCACCATCTTCAGCACGACTCCAAACCCTAAACCCCAAACCCTAGTCAAACAACCGTGTCGGAAGGGTTTCGGGTTTAGGGGGTTTAGGGTTTAAGCTTTTCGGTTTAGGGTTTAGGAAGTTTAGGGTTTAAGCTCTTCGGTTAAGGGTTTAGGTTTAAGGTTTACTTATCCCAAGTGGCGTAGGTAAGCATTTCTGCACACATGAACGGCTACATAAAATTTTCAGTTAAGTTACCATACCGAGGTTTGTGAGTAGCCCTTTTATAATTCGAAGGTTAGAGGATGCAGTGGCCTGGAACAAATGGGAGTTTCCGAAAATTCAGGGTACCTTGTTTTGGGGTCCTTAAAATCGGGATCCTACTATTTAGGGTACCATATTGGGGTCCTCTATTTTCGGAAACTCCCAAATGTTGTGGCTTGAATTATTCAGGGTGGGATTTAGTTTCGGTCTCCGGGTCGAGGAGGATTTAGGAGGGTTTGGGGGCCGGATTGTTTTTGCAATACTACGGTGGATGATATAAATCCTGCATGACCCATAACAAGGAATCTACCATAATTCCTAGAGTTCAGGGTCATTAAGGTAATGCAGGATTTATATCATCAAGCTTAGGTCACTGTTTGGAAGGGTTCCTCACATACGTGCAGAATATCTACACCCTCGTCTGATTAAAGTATTGAGGCTCGTGTCTTCCGTTTTGTTCAGAAGGTTTAGGGTTTCGGGCTTATTCCGTAGAAGGCCCAATCCCTAGAGCATGTCTCCAAGTCCTGCACTTCAACTTCAACAGCCTTTAACCTAAAGCCCTAACTCCAGATCCTGGACCCTGGCCCCTTGTTTTAGCCTAACTTACAGCACTAAAACCTCCTCCCTCCACGCCCCGAAAGCATCTTCGAGCCCAAAACACCACAGCACAAAGCCCTAACGGTTTAGGGTTAAGCCCTACTTCCTAAACTTCTCAGAACGAGATGAAGAGAACCTTGAAATCGAGGAGTTGAGTATGGACGCCGCGCTGTCCCCGCTGGAGTTGGTCTGTCGAGCTGACCTGCGCATGCACACCCTCCACCAGGAGGCTCAGGGCATAGCAACCCTAAAGGGAACTCCAGAAAGTTGGAATATGGTTTCAGGGTAGGATACCTTATAATTTACCATAAAGGGTTTAGGATAAGCATATTCCAACTTTCTGGCTTTTGCCTTAAACCCTAAACCCGGGTTTGTAGTTGTCCTGGCTGTGTAAGCCTCTTCGGGACCCCAGGGCTTCGCAGAAAAGGAGCTCAACAAAAAAACCAGGTTTGTAAAGTTCTAGGGTTTGGGTACAGAATTCCGGATACAGTTTTGGGATTCAGGGCTTATAACGTTCAGGGCTTCAGGATTCGGATAAGTCTTGAGCGGTCTCTGAAGCCCTGACGCAATTGTATAAGTATACACTAATCATATTACATATACCCCAGAAAACTCCGTCCGAAATATTAACACCAACCCCCCCACCCCAATAAAAAGAATACACTCGAACCTCTGAACCCTAAATCCCTTCGCTTTAATCTTTAGAGCCTCAAGCCCTAAATCCTAAACCCACTTGGAGGGTCGGTAGACTTTGTAACTAGTTTTTCTGTAGGCTTGTAAGTATCATGACCCCAATTAGGATCCTTCTTAGGGTACTTAAAAGTCTACTTGTTGCTACTTGCTAAGTCCCGCGACCCTCCCAGTCCGAGAACCCTGTACAGCTATGACCCGGAATCCTGAAACCCTAAACCCCGAATCCTGAAACCGCAAACCCTATAGCGACTAAACCCCGAACCGTCGAACCCAAAATCCCGCCCCCAGGTGCGGCGCCTGGAGGCGGAGTGCGCTGGGATGTCCGAGGACACCTCGTCCTCTGCACGCCTTGGGGAGCTGTCCCTTGGTTCTATCAGAGTTCTATACTGGGGGCTCGGGTGACTTAGTAGGTATGCAATAAGTAGATGTATAAGTAGCCTAAATGGGTCCTAACTGGATTACGGTGTTTCTAAGTCTAAAAAAAGTGGTTACTAAGTCCCCCGACCTTCCGAGTTTCCATGCGAGTTCTGTGGGGTTCTGCGAGGGCTTTAAACGGGCTCGGGAAAAGGGTACAATAGGGGTTTTTTGGATGCTCAGGATTTCGGTATCATCCAAAAAGGTAGATCCCTTAATGGGGGTTCCCATAAAGTACCCTTAGAAGTATAGGGCCCCAAATTAGGGGATCTACTTTCTAGATCCTCCCGGGGGTCTGGAAACCCTAAACCCTAACCCCCAAAAATCTGGGTCTTTCAGGCAGAGCGAGCTCAGCGATAACCCTAAACCCCAAACCCTATAAACCCTAAACCCACCTACACCCCCCAAAGCGTGTCTTTCAGGTATAGCGAGCTCAGCGATACCGGGGCCGAAACGGAAGGCGAATGGCGCCACCGTGCTGAAGGCCTCCTCCGAGGTTTGGGTTTCGAGGACCCGGCTGTGTGGGGGTTTAGGGCTTAGGGGTACTTAGAAATAATACTTTTTAATTTTTGGTTATTATAATCCCTAAGAAACAGCTAAAATTGCAATTTTTGCCAGGGTTCTAAGTTCAGTATAGGTTTAGGGTTTAGGATTTATAGTTTTTTTCCAGTGGTGTTCTCCAGTCCTTCGTAGGGTCTATGATCAGGGTTTAGTTTAATGTAGGAACCTGATTAAGAAACCCTGGGCCTAAAATTCCAAAATAGTAGGATTCATATAAGGAACCATAATAAAGGCCCAAGGTTTCTTAATCAGGTTCCTACATTAGTGCTCGATGGCTTGTATGTTTTCTTGTCAATCTGCCCGTTGTCCTAGAGGTGTTCTCTGGTCCTTCGTAGGGTCTTTAGCCTGTGCCCCAAGTTTTAAGCCCTAAGTCTCAAAGCCTAGGCCAAAAACTTCCACGAAACTTAAAGCGGTGAACCCTTAATAAAGAGAGGCCCCGAACTCCATGAGGAGTTTCGGACGACGGAGCCGCTGGCACAGCTCAGCGGAGGCTGGCGCATGCGCGTGGCCATCGCTGCGGCCCTCTTCGTGCGACCGCGGTTGCTGATGCTGGACGATTCGGGGTTTTCTGGTTTACGCTTCGGGCTTTGTTATATATATATATATATGTATATATGTGTATATATGTATGTAAAGTCTGTATGAATATGGCTTCAGGTATATGAACATAAAAATGTAGATAAAATAAATATCAGTGCGAGTAAAAAGATATGCGTGTATGCATACAAACGTACATGCACACATACATACATACATACATGCATGCATGCATGCATGCATACATACATACACAGGGAAGATTGGGAGTGAAGGGTGTGAGGCCTGGGGTTTGGAAGTGCAGCGGCTTTGGGTGTAGGGTGGAGTGAAGAGTTGAGGGTTTGGACTTCGGTTTTTTGATCCTGACCTCAGTCCTGTCCCGGGAAGAGGCCTGTACGGGAAATCCTGAGGGACTCTGAGACCTTTGACTCAACAGTATACCCCAGATTTATAAGCGGATCTCTCATATGAGGTACGGTATGTTCCTGAATGTAGGTGCTGTGTGCTGCGTAGAGTAGGTAACCTTGAACCCCAACTTTCGTGGTTTACATGATCCAACCAGAACTACCCACACCCGAAACGCCCCCAAAGGTTGACTGTTTTGAGCTCGGGCACTCTGCCCCTTAGATGTTAAGGTCTTTATATGAAGCCCCATAATTTGGCTCTATGGAAGCTCTACAGAAGTTTGTGGAAATTCCACAAAAAAAGCGATCGAACTGATAAAATCGAAGCCTGACTCATTACCAAAGTATTCCATAAGGGTTCCTAGTTATGGCTATACTAGAACACAAGCCATGACCCCAGTCTATTTGTTAAGGCCCCTGTCTTGAGCTGTCTTGGACACCGTTGATCACTTCACCCGAAAAGGACGAGCCCACGAACCACCTGGATCTCGGTGCCATCGACTGGCTACAGAGACACCTCGTTGACGAGTACAAAGGGACGGCTCACCGACCTTTTTTTGGATTAGGGTATGAACGGACTACCACCTGTCGAGTCTCCCTAACCTCAGCCCTTACTGTTGGGGTTCTGCGCTCAGGGTTGATGTGTTAGAACTCAAAGTTGGTTCAAGAATTTTCAAAGGTTTCGTATTTAGGGCAATTTTGTCATGTCATTAACCAGTTGAACACATGCAGGCACTAACCCAGTACCAGGAAAAAGATGCAACCACGCAACGTCGAAAAGCGAGCTCAGGGCACAGGGTTTACAGTAGAAGCAAGAAAGTTGGAACATCACTAGCCTCATGCCCTTACAGTAAAGTATAGGGAATCCCAGCATGAATCATCCTAAATCTATGTTCCAACTTTCTGGGGTTCACTATAGGCTCAGCTCTTGGGATCCCGCAAACGTTCACCCACACAGCGCCACGAACATGATGTCAGACGATCACTGGAAAATTAGGGGCCTGAATGGTTAATTAGAATAAGGGGAACTCCAGCAAGTTGGAATATGGAACAATGGCAGAATTTCTATAATTTACCTTAAAGGGGTTATGATAATGATATTCCAACTTTCCGGCTTCTACTGTAGGGTATTGGGCTCCTTTATGCTATAACCATAACAAGTACCATGAGGCTTACTGTTGATAAATATTTAGGCTCCTACATGAAGAGCATTCAGCATGGCGAGGCACGAGGTCCCGTAAAGCCCTAAACCCATTGCAGTCTCAAATCTTGGGACCTGGGAGATGCGCCCTGCATCTCTGAATATTCACTCGAATTTCCCGAAATTCACAAACACCTACTTTCCGGTGCCGCTTACGTAGTTTGTTTGCATTGAGAAGTCTGATCCCAGGGTCGGTTTCAAACTCCCCGTGCGTTTTGTGCTGCACTTGTGGCAGAAGAGAGGTTCTCTGTGTCTCGCATGACCGGGACTTCATCAACGAGGCTCGCCATTTCCTGGTTCCTGAACCCCAACACTTTGTCTATGTCAAAGACAAATTCCCTATTCACCACCGCTTCATTGGACATGATGACAGCAGTGATAGCTGTAGCATGGTGCCAGTCATACGAAGAATGATGGCTGGTGAGAACAGAAAATTGTTGCTCCTCTTCATTGTCATCGTCATGGTCGGCGTGATACCCCATTTGTAGTGGAATCCAGCATGTAGGTTCAACCCCCGCCCGAAGCGTTTGAATGCCTAGCAACATTGAAGCCTATATAAACAATCAGACTAGCTGTTTGGGTACACGATAGTACCTAGTCAGGAACCCTTTGGTAGTATTTTCAACTATTCAGGCCGCCATGTTCTGTACTTGTCGTCATTTCCTAGACCCCCCAACTACCCTCTAATATACCCCAAATACCCACTATTAAGGGCCATAAGGGCTCTATTAAAGGGCCATTGGGGGATCCCGGTAATTTACTCCTTGAGGGAATCCTCCAGGTCTCCTACCACCCGAAGCCCAGGCAGCCCAGGTATGTGATTGTTGAATAGTGGGATGCTCGAACTTTAAGCCCCAAACGCTAATCTTTACGCCGGGAGAAGAGCGCTAAACCCTAAACAAAATCTTTAAGCCCCAGACGACCAGGTCTGTACGGACATTATCATCTTCGCCGATCAAAGCCTCACATACTTCCATGGCCGCCGGTCTCAAGGGTTCCTGCCCTAAACCCTAAACCGTGTTTGGTGTTCAGGATGTAGGGTTAGGTTCCTTTAATAGGGCTCCCAGCGTTCCTTTTAAAGGGTTCCTTTAAAGGGTCTGTAAGGGCTACTATAAGGGATAATCTATGGGTTGCGTATAGGGGCCTAAATCATTTATGGTACTTATAAGTATATGAATTATCTACTTACTAAGTCCCCTGACCCTCCAAGTAGCTTCCTGCGAACCTTCAGGCGAGAAAGGAGCCAAGCCATAAATCGGACTTTCAGAAAGCAGCCCCTAGCCCTAAACCCTACAGCCCTCAAACCCTCACAGCAATAAGCCCTAAAGCCTCGAACACCCCAACCTTCCAAGCCCTTGACCCCTTTCTTTAACATAATAAGGGCGTGAGGCCTCACCTTGCTGGCAATTCCATTGCAGGCTCTGTTTTTCAGGAAGTTGGCGATATTCTCCTTGGGGGAAATCCTGTAAGACAAGCAGCAAAGAGAACAAGATTCGCGCCCTTATGGCGCTTGTTCGTTTCCGGGTGTGGCCTTGGGTTATGTCGTACACCCCATACACCACTCCTGTTAATTCTATAAGCCCTGCACCCGCTCGGCCCGAGACATCATCAGCCCTCAGCCCTATGGGAGTTTGCGAAAATTAGGGGTAGCTTAACACCCAAGACCCTAACTTCCTAAACCCTAAACCCTAAACTCCTATAAGCCCTAAAGCCCCCCCCCCCCCCAAAAAAAAAAAAAAAGACCCGGCACCCCAAACCCTAAACTCCCAAACCCTCACTTGGAGGGTCGGGGGACTTAGTAAGTCGGTAACAAGTAGACTTATAAGTACCCGAAAAGGGATCCTAATTGGCATTATGGTGCTTAAAAGTCTCTAATCTAGAATATCTAGTTACTAAGTCCCCCGACCATCCAAGCAAGTCGTAAACTCTGAGACCCAGGCACGCTGGACCTCTTCGAGGAAGCAGCCCAAGAAAAGGCTCGACACTTGGAAAAGGAGGCCGGGGCCTTTTAGGAGCCAAACTTAAAGTTTAGGGTTTTAGGGCTTAGGGTTTAGGATTTAGGGTTTAGGGTTTAGAGTTTAGGGTTTTAAGGGCTTAGGGTTTAGGATTTAGGGTTTAGGGTTTAGAGTTTAGGGCTTTCAGGGTTTAGGATTTAGGGTGTAGGGTTTAGAGTTCAGTGGGGTTTTTAGGGTTTAGGGTTTAGGATGTAGGATTTAGGGCTTAGAGTTTCTAAAGGGTTGTTGCGGTGAGTGGTGCTTGTGGTTCAGGAGGTTCAGGAGGTTCAGGGGGCTCAGGCGGGTGAGGAGGATTCGAGTGTTGTTGGGAGGGTTTTCGGTGCAGGGTTTAACGTTTTGGGGGTATTTTGGATTCACCGGCTTTGGGCGTTAGGGTTTAGGGGTTTTGACGTTTATGGTTTAGGGTTTAGGGTTTAGGGGTTTTGACGTTTAGGGTTTCGGGTTACGCCGACCTTATTGCGGCAGAAGAGGGGCTCTGTGATATCACAACCTTATGGTTTTTGTTTAGGTTCTTGTCGCAGGGCTTCTTTTGTCGGAAGTTATGTTGGGGTTGAACAGGTTTTCAGGGTTTCGGAATTTCGGACTTGTAGGGTTTTCGTGTTTTTAGGGCCGGGGGTTGAGAGTTTAGGCGGTAAAGGGTTCACGGGCTAGGTGTTGGGTTTTAGGGGAACCCTAAACCCTAAACCAGCCTAAACCCTAAACTCTAGGGGTTAAGGTTGGGGGCATAACTAATAACGGCCCACAGATTTTCGACTTGAGGATTCTCGAGCGGGAACACTTTCAATTAGGTTCGTGTGTAGTGCCGTTTTGCCCTTTCTATTCTAGGGCCCCTTATCAAAACCGAATAGTAGGAACAAGGGTACCCTTGCTATAGAGGGGCTGCTCAGGAACGTAGTCAAGGTTGTTCGATACAGCGGAGAGAGATGTTTCAGCTTTTGATCATGCTTCAAGGTTTAAAGGCTCTGTGACGAAGAACCTTTATGTATACAATCCTTCCAAGAATATTTTTTGGAAGGACCCCTATAAACCGCGTTTTAAACCCTAAACCCGAAAACCCCCCCTTCAGGCTCTTCATATTTATAAGGGTGCCAGCAGCCCAGAGCCTCACGCAGTGAACCCTGGAGCTCTGAAGCCCTACACCTAAGCCGCGCTTGGGGTTTACTTATAGTCTCCATTGTAGTTCCTTTTTTTGGTTAACCAAAATCTCTATTATAGGGTTGTAACCATAAAACTGGTTAACCAAAACAAGGAACTACAATGGAGACTATAGGTAGGGTTTAAGGTTTCAAGTCTTTTTAATCTGAACCTCTGGCTCCGGCAAGTAGGGTGTCGGGGTTTAGGGTTTAGGGTTGTGCTGCACAGCACATCGCTCAAGTAAAGGCTTTGGGAGCCTCAGTTGGACCCCCAAACCCTCAACCCTGACCCCCTAAGGCCTAAACATTAGAAGGGGCCCCCACCCTGTAATAGTGGTATAATAGGAATATAATAGGGCCCTAATATATTCCTTATAGTCACTATTACAGGGTGGGGGCGCCTTGTAGCCTAAACACTTGATGACTTAATGCACAATTACTGTAGGGGTTGTCTCTGAATGTCCGCCGCAGTTGCTCATGTTTTTCCAGGCATCTGCCCTGGAGAGGAAGCGGGAGGTGGTGGGGGGTGATGGCTTTCAGGTTTTCGGGCTTTGGAACGAAATCTTTAAGGACTTTAGCGGGTTCTGCAAGGATTCTTTTAGGAAGGATTTCTGTTAGGGTTTCTTCCAAGGTTCTGTTTCGGGTTTTGGGGTGGTGTTGTCTCAGACAAGATAACGGTTTCACGGAGTATAGAAAGACCGTAGCACATTACCACTATCACCCTAGACCCCCCAACTTACTTGGAGGGTCGGGGGACTTAGTAAGTAGGTAGTAAGTAGAGTTATGAGTACCATAAAAGGGATCCTAATTGGGGTCACGGTACTTATAAGTCCCGAAAATATCTAGTTACTAAGTCCCCCGACCCTCCAAGTATATCCCAACTATTCACTCTTAAGGGGCATATTCCTAAACCCCTGAACCCCTCAACTACCAGGCCTCTAAAAGACGCGCTTTGGGGGATCCTGCTTGGAGGGTCGGGGGACTTAGTAACTAGATATTCTAGATTAGAGACTTTTAAGCACCATAACGCCAATTAGGATCCCTTTTCGGGTACTTATAAGTCTACTTGTTACCGACTTACTAAGTCCCCCGACCCTCCAACCCTAAACCCTAAATCCTGGTTACTAAGTCCCATGACCCTTTAAGTATCCCTTGCAGAGTTTCTCGTCAGATCGCGGTCTCAAGACCTCTGTTCTCGTCTCGAGTCCGCCGGATCCCAACCCAGAACACCCGGACCCATACTAGAGGTGGTTTTAGGGTTTAGGGTTTTTGCTTATACCATTCTGGTGGTTCCTGATTGTAACTACAGTATAGTTGTCCCCAAAACCCTATTCTAACTATTCAGGCCGCTACAGTAAGCCGAACCCCGAACCCCGCAACCAAGGACCCGACACCCTGAGCCGACCGATCCCCCCGAAAGCAAGCACCACGATATCCTCACTAATGTCGGAACCTGAGTAAGAAACCTTGGGCCTTTATTGGGGCTCCTTATATGAATCCTACTATTTTCGGGGTTATAGACCCAGGGTTTCTCAATCAGGTTCCTACAATAGTGTCTGAAGGAGACAGGGCGGGAAGCGACCCCGAATGCGGGGTCTGACTTTTCTTAGGAAGCGGAGTGTATACCATTCATGGCACAAGCCTGATTAGTTCAAGTTACTACAACCAGGAAAGCAGGTTCTGTACAATCCTATCTGTCCCTTGTGGTATCTTAGGTGAAGTCCGTAACAAGAGCCCAGCATGTGTCACGAAATCTGAGCCCTCCTTCCCAAAACCTCATAGCAGGACCGATGTGGCAACACTGCAAGCCGTACAGCTGAGACCGAAACCTGTGGTATGGGTGAGAATGAGAATTTTCACCCTTTGTCTTATTGGCTGTAAACTCAACTTTTCAACTTTTGGGTTTAGGGGTTTAGGGTTTAGGGGTCAGGGTTTAAGTTCAGTCTCGAGTGTGGAGGTTTATTGAGGGGCTTAGAGAAGAACCTTCAAATCCGTAGATCCCCAATACTGAACCTTTAACCTTTTTGGGTTCTTACAGTTCAGTAGGAATCGGAAAGTTTAATCGTTTATCTCTGTGGCTTCTTGGAGTAGTAAGAGTCACTGACGACTGGAGTTTCTTCAACTACCACCTCCCTGTAACAATCGTGTTGGACGCATCGGGTGCCTTCGAAGAGGTGATCCACCAGACGATCCAGCCTCTTGGACATCTGTTGATTTCAGCGGGTGGAGGGGGATGGGGTGGGGAGGGATGGACTTTGCCGAACTATGTGACAAGCCGGTCTTGCAGCAAGAGCAACAACAGCAACAAGCAACAACAGCAACAACACAGCAACACAGCCACAGCAGCAACAACAACAACAACAACAACAACAAGAAGCACCAAGACCAAGACCAAGACAGGAACCAGCACCAGCAGCACCAGCAGCACCAGCAGCACCAGCAGCACCAGCAGCACCAGCAGCACCAGCAGCACCAGCAGCACCAGCAGCACCAGCAGCACCAGCAGCACCAGCACCACCAGCAGCACCAGCAGCACCAGCAGCACCAGCAGCACCAGCAGCACCAGCAGCACCAGCAGCACCAGCAGCACCAGCAGCACCAGCAGCACCAGCAGCACCAGCAGCACAGCACCAGCAGCACCAGCAGCACCAGCAGCACCAGCAGCACCAGCAGCACCAGCAGCACCAGCAGCACCAGCAGCACCAGCAGCACCAGCAGCACCAGCAGCACCAGCAGCACCAGCAGCACCAGCAGCACCAGCAGCACCAGCAGCACCAGCAGCACCAGCAGCACCAGCAGCACCAGCAGCACCAGCAGCAGCACCAGCAGCACCAGCAGCACCAGCAGCACCAGCAGCACCAGCAGCACCAGCAGCACCAGCAGCACCAGCATCACCAGCAGCACCAGCAGCACCAGCAGCACCAGCAGCACCAGCAGCACCAGCAGCACCAGCAGCACCAGCAGCACCAGCAGCACCAGCAGCACCAGCAGCACCAGCAGCACCAGCAGCACCAGCAGCACCAGCAGCACCAGCACCACCAAGCTTGTTTTGGCGCGTCGGAAACTCCCCAACCTTCAACCCTCTCAAGAATGCCAGTGCTAATTACTCAGGGCCCCTCATTTTAGGTCTTGCCCTTTGGCTGTTGGGGCCAAAAACCCTGCTCCTCAAAATGCCATTGATGGTTGACCCAAATCCTGCAGTATCTTCCCTAGGGGCCCCAAGTACTCAATAGTCGGGTACTGGAGTTTTATGCAGGTCGGTAGAGTTCAATCCGCAGCACCTTACCAACACCCTGTATCCTAAACTCCCATGTGTAGTAGTTTTTCTCCACTAATAATTATGCTAATCTTAATGAGGATTCTGTTGACGGTACTTACAACGCTGTTCCATTAAGTAGCTGAGTGGATACACTTTACATTTTTTGCATATTACAACCCACTATAAACCTAAACGTGTACACTTGTTGGGGGCTTATGAACTCAGCAACTAAGAGTACCATAAGCCGTCCTTGGCAAAGGAGGCCTCCCACGTGCAAATTCCCTGGCATTGCGATTCTTTCCGTGCAGGGCTTCGGGCTTGGTTTGGGGTTTTAGGTGTTTAGGTGTTTATAAGGTTTAGGGGTTTAGGGGTTTAGGGGTTTTAGGGGTTTTAGGGGTTTTAGGGTGATGGTCGCACGCTTATGATGTGGAAGAAGGAATCGCTTGGAGACTCCTCGTTGGACACTGCCTTGGAAGTGGAAAACGCAGTCTTCTAGATACCCTAAACCCTAAACCCTAAACCGTGAAGCCAACCAGTTCAAGAGCAAGGTTGACGAACACGGACAGAGAATGGACAAGTTTAGTTTTGGCCAGGTTTTAACTTTCCCTGGGACCCCCACCCCTCAATCCCCAAAACAGGGGCCTTAATAATTACCTGTACTATTTTGCGGGGTCCGTATTATAAATTATAGTATTAATGGGCCCCAACACCCTAGTCGACTTATTAAGGCCCTACCCTATATTAAACCCGAAAACCGCAGGCCCATGAACCCTTATCGAATCCCTTAACGGAATCTTTTTAGAACACCTAACGTACCTAAAGGATCCTTGTAAAACCCCCGATCCCAGCAGAGCCCCTCAGCCAATGATGGAATGAGAGCAGTTCTCCAGATTTAGGGGTTAGGCACTTTCTTGACGGTTTCGCGTTGCCTTTTGAATCAGCTGGTTTATCAATCAGGCCTCTGTTTTGCAGGCAGCGTACACCCTAAACCATAAACCCTAAACCTGTGTAGGCATCCCTATCATTCATCCCTAAGCCCTAAATTCCCTAAAACCCCTAAACCCTAACCCCTCTGAACCCTAAAACCCTAAACCTCAAACCCTAAACTCTAAGCCCTAAACCCTAACCCCTAAACCCTAAACCCTTTCATTGGCTACTGGGGAAGCTCGTGAGGCACAAAGAGCGCGAAGTCGCCAAGGCTTGCCGGGACGATGGGGAGGGCAAAGGGGATTTAGGGGCTTAGGGGCTTCGGGGTTTAGGGTTTAGGGGGTTTAGATGGTTTAGGGGGTTTGGGGGGTTTAGGGGGTTTAGGGTTTAGGGGTTTAGGGGGTTTAGGGGGTTTAGGGGTTTAGGGGGTTTAGGGGGTTTAGGGGGTTTAGGGGGTTCAGGGGGTTTAGGGTTTAGGCTTAGGGATTTAGGCCCCAAAGGCTTTGGGTGTAGGGTTTAGGGCTTCGGGCTTCTAGGGTTGAGCGGCTTTGGGAATTTCCTTGAAAAGGGAGTTCAGGGTGCTTGGGGTGTTTAGGGTATTTGTTGAGTTTTTGGGCCGTTTGGGACGAGTAGAGTCTGAAGCGTACGGGCTCAAGAGGAACAGAGGTTGCATAGGCGTTCTGCACGGGTTATTCAAGGGTTTTTTTACGAGCTCCTGGTGCTTCAGCATGCAAGGTCCCAGGATAGGGTTTCAGAGGATGTGTTTTGTAGGTTCTTGTTGGGTTTATAAAGGCTTTCTAGGATCCAGGGTCCTGCACAGAGGCATACATGGAGGTTCATGGATCACTTTCTGTGAGGGCATAGCCCCAAACCCCTGAACCCTAAACCCCTAAACCCCTAAACCCGAAACCCTAACAGGGCATAGCTAGGGTCAGCATTCCGTCTCTATACTCGGCAGATTTTAGGCGGTTTTGTTGCATCGTCTTCCGCTGACGAGGGTCTGCCTCTGCCGACTCTGGGTGTGTTACAGGGACATTCAAGAGGCGCTGGCATCAACTTTATCCCTGGCGGCCAGCGTCTGCATGTGCACGACCCAGACCTCCCGCAGAGAGCATATCACGCCAACGATAGGGGGCCTTCAGGACGACAAGGTCTGCAGCCAGGCGAAAGATCGAGTGCCCAAGGCGGAACCAACAGCGGCCGGGAAGAAGACATGGGAAGTGGCAAATGCGGCCTTCCATCCCACCCGGCGCGAACCGGCTCCCAACCACCATGGCAAGCCGAACTCGCGTGGTGAACTGTACCCAGGGTTCCCCAAAGCAGACCCTCAGTATTGCGAGGCGTGCGAGCAGTTACGCCGAGGTTTTCAACACGCAGCCAAACCTCACCTTCCTGAGGACGGCCTATATGCCCTGAATTTCTTGGATCTGGGCCCGCGAAGGTAGGATTCTAGGGTTTAAGGATGTTTAAGATTAGGGGTTTTTAGGGTTCAAGTTTTAGGTTAAGGATTCGGGTTTGGCCTTTTTGAGGATTTTGAGGTCTATTGTTCAGCGTTTAAGGTTTAGGGTTCTGAAGAAGATAGGAGTGCGAGTATGCTATCTGGGTTTCAACCCTGTTTAGAGTCTAATGTCGGGGTTGTAGCCTTTACTGCACCCTGCTGTCATAACTTCCCTCAAACCTTAGTTTACCCGAAATAAAAAATTCAAGGCCCCTTTCTTCGTTTCCTGCGGTTGATGATACGAACCGCTCATGACCCATGATAAGGAATAGACCATAACTCCCATAGTTTCGGGTCCTTATGGTAATGCAGGTAATTTATATCATCTACTTAAACCCTAAACCCTATAACCCTATAGATCCCTTAAAGGAGCCTCTTAACATCTTAAACCGGAGCCTTATAGAACCCTATTAAATGGGTTTGTATCATCAACAGTGTGTGTGGCCTTGGGTCAGGGAGTGGAGCGCCGGATGCGAGACCCCAAGATCCAGAAACCCCCAACTTCAAATCCGAACCCCAAAACCTCAACCCTAAACCCTAAACCCCAAACCCTAAACCCTAAACCCCAAAACCTAAGCCCTAAACCCCAAAACCTACACCCTAAACCCCAAAACCTAAACCCTAAACCCCAAAACCTAAACCCTAAACCCCAAAACCTAAACCCTAAACCCCAAAACCTAAACCCTAAACCCTAAAACCCTGAGCCCAAGCCTCGTGCCTTGAGGTTCCCCATAACGCTTGAGTCTAGGTTGAAACAGGCAGAACAGTGCTGCAGAGAAACCCTAATGCAGCTTTGAGACCTTGCCCAGGGGCGACTGAAACTCGAATATGGGGGCCTTCAGAATTAGAATAGGGGCTTCGGGCCCATTATACTATAAGTAGAACAAGGAACCCCCAAAATAGTGTAGGCAATTATTTAGCCCCCCTATACTAGGTGCCTTAACCACAAAACCATGTGTTGAGGGTTAAGATCCAGCGCTTAGGGTGTAAGTCCTAATTTGAAGGGTCGGGGGACTTAGTAAGTAGCTAATAAGTAGACTTATAAGCACCCTAACAGGGATCCTAATTGGGGTCATGGTACTCATAAGTCTCCAAAATAACTAATTACTAAGTCCCCCGACCCTCCAAGTAGACCCCAACAGGCCACAAGCTTCAACCACGAAGCAGGCTGAAAAGAACAAGAGCAAGAACAAGGCCAAGTCAAAATATGCGATTCTCCAAGGAGCTACCGAGGGAAAGAGTCCCTCTGCTCCTTTTGTTTATGGCGGGGTTTAGGGTTTCGGGTTTAGGGTTAGGGGTTCATTCAAGGGTTCCTTTAACGGTTCCTTTAAAGGTTCTATGAGGGTTTAGGGTTTAGGGTTTTGGGCTCCCTACACCCTAAGCCCTAAGCGTTTTCAAGGTTTCGAGTTGTGTATGGTGTACGGAGCAGAGGTTGTTGTTTCGGACAGAAGTTCGAGCGTTCAGGTCTGAAGCCTTAATGCCCTCAAAACCCTTAACTCTTAGGCTTGGGGTTTCAGGTTTGCTTTGGGGTGCCATCTGCCGTCTGAAGAACGACAAGTCTTAGGCATGTTCTCTCTGTCTGTGTTCTAACCTGTTTCTCTTTACATTTGGATGACAGTGCTCTGCACCAGCAAACCCAGCAGCGGAGGAGAGATTCAAAATGACATCCTTCAAAGAGTGGTAGCCGTGTCGCCTTGCGACAAGCAGCCTCCGTTTCGAGACCCAAAGGCCCAAATCCTAAACCTCAAACCCTTAGCCATAGACTTGAAATCCTGAACCTAGAGTCTACACTTTAAACCTTGTAACCCTAAAGCGTAGCATTTATTAAGCCCCCACATGTTGCCGTCTCGGTAGGTGTCCGGGATTTTTTCGCTCGGACTTATTCTCCCGAACGGTCCAAAGTATCCAATATTCAGAAACTAAAGCTTGGTTTGTTTCAGGGCTTAGGATTTTCAGGCACTTGCCCTAAACCCTAAACCCTAAACTTTGGGTTTTGCTGTCTAGCCACCCTTCACAAGCCCTAGGAGTCGCGAGTGCCAACCCGGGCCGACAGCCCATCCCCGAAGCCTTAAACCCTGAATTCTAAACCCTCAGAGATAATCAAAAAGGAGCTCAAAAAAAACCCTCAGAGATATAACCTAAGCCTTAAAGACTAAGGTGTAGGCTATATCTTTGAGGGTTTTAAATCCTAAGCCTGAAATCCTCTATTCCATAGGCCCAGGTCCTGTAATGCCAGAACCCTCAACCCGCAAGCTCCGCCGCAAACATCTTCCAGCCAAGGCATGTCCAGTCTTGTGGCAGCGCAGCAGCAGAAGTTGGTGACTCGTCTACTGTACCTGTGGCCCCAAATCCGTACAGGAAAACCAGCAGGTAGGGTACTATAGGGGCCTAAATAATTACAAATACTGGGGTTCTTTATCTAGGATCTCCAGTAGTACCCTTATTCCCTTTTTGTAGTCATAGGTTCCTTATAAAGCTACCCAATACCAAGAAGAGAGGCCTTTTTATTCTTAGGTTACTGGGTATCCTAGTTATTCTGATTATAGTATCATGGGCCACAGGCATCCTCATGTAAAGCTTGTTGGGCTCAGGGCTTTGGGGTTCCGAGTCGCTCGGGTTTTAGGAGTTTCTTGGGGTTGAGGGTTTCGGGTTGAGGGTTTAGGGGTTTAGGGTTTGGGGGGAAGGGAATAGGTCCGAGCCCTTAGTACTGTTGATGGACAAAATTCTGCATTACCCATTATAAGGAATATACCGTAGTTCCCATAGTTTAGAGTCCTTAGGGTCATGCAGGACTTTGTCCATCAACACTAGCACTATGCCGGCTCTCCATGTTTGGTGACTGTATGATATGCTTGTAGTACGCTAGTATGATATGTGCTACTACACCCCCGAATGACTAGACCCTAAACCCCAGACCCCACACCCCTGAAGCCATTTCTTCGGGGCCCCGCTATCAGAGACATACTGTTGATGATATAAATCCTGCATTACCTTAGGGACCCTAAAGTATGGGAATCATGGTATATTCCCTCTTATGGGTAATGCAGGATTTACTTGGAGGGTCGGGGGACTTAGTAAGTAGGTAGTAAGTAGACTTATAAGTCCCCTAAAAGGGACCCTAATTGGGGTTATGGTACTTATAAGTCCCTAAAATAACCAGTTACTAAGTCCCCCGACCCTCCAAGTATGCCATCAACGATATCAACTTCGCAGTTTGGGGACCTTCTTCATGAGCCCCTGAAGCCTCTTATAGGGTTTAGGGTTAGGGTTTTGGCAACTAGGATGCCCAGTAGTACCCTTATTCCCTTTTTGTAGTCCTACGGTGGATGATATAAATCCTGCATGACCCATAAAAAGGAATATACCATAATTCCCATAGCTTCGGGTCCTTAAGGTCATGCAGGATTTTTATCATCAACCGTAGGTTCCTTATTAAGTTACCCAATACCAAAAGGGGAGCCCTTTTTATTCCTAGGTTACTGGGCATCCTAGGCAACATGAGCCAAGTCAAGATCGTGTCCGAGCTGTGCTTTACTCAACAGCCTACCGAAAGCCAAAGTGGTAAAATCCTGAACCCTACTTTACCGAAGCCGATGATTCCATGCCTGCTGCCCCGCCCAGCAGTAGAGCAGGTAACCTTTAGCCTTGTTTGGGTAGTATAGTCCCTATATAATCCCTATATACCCAAAAGGTTAACCTCTAGTTCCCCATGATACCCGACAGGTAGGCCCGAATTCGTAAAGGTTTGGGTTTACTTGGAGCATCCTGGAGGTTCATGGGTGGTTATTTGTGTGGCGATATGGGTAGTTGTCAAAATTAGGGTACCTTTTTGGGTACCCTAAAGATTAGGTGGCGTACTATAATAGGGACCCAAAAAATGGGCCACAATTTTGACAACCACCCATAAGTAGGGCAACGAGAAGTGTAACGCATATTAGGTGATGTCAATTTTCCAGGTTACACAGGTTACATAGGATGCAGTTTAAGGCAAGGCGTTACCACCGTTTAGCTTGCTTGCTACCCGTGGTGAGAAGGACCATGGACGGGACCATCATTAGGTTGCGTGTAATATAGGAACGTGATTCAGAAACCCTGGCCCTGCTACCTCAAAATAGTAGGGTTCATTTAAGGAACCCTAACAAAGGCCTATATAAAGGTTCCTTAATCAGGTTCCTACATTATAGCATTAGGGATAAGCCTTATCGCTTCTAAGGTCCTGAGATTCTGGAATTCAGGGATTAGAACGCATCTCTTCCAAGCCGGCCGGAAGTCCTGCCAAAGACAGCCGCCCCACCCTAGACCTTGCAACTTGCAACTACCCAAAACCCAAAACCCTCAACCCCACACCCCAAACAAAACGAAACCTTAAGCCCTGAACCAGACGTCATCCACCCTGAACCGCAAAAAAAAACCGACTCCTCAGCTCCTACATTTGCAGCCCCTAGCAGGGTCTTGGGGTGTTGGTAGGTTTTGGGTAATATAGGGCCCTCACAACTACCAATTCTATTCTTGGGGCTCCTTGTTTCAATTGCAGTATAATTGGCCCCGAAACCCTATTCTATTTATTAACGGCCCTGACTGGTTACAGTAATTCGGGTTTTGGGGTCCATGGGTCCATGGCCATAACTACTGCAGTGTGGGTAGATTCTCAAACTACATTACTTCAACACTTGCAAGAATTCAAGACAAAACGTTTCTTCAGAACACTTTACCGTACCCCGAACGGATCACGGTAGCGTGCGTGTTTTAGACGTTCCACTTTAGATCCGACAGATGTTCTGAGCTATGGTGATGAGGCCCCATGCCGCTCCGCATAGCCTAAAAGAGGGACGTGAATGGCCCCTAATAGTATGGTTTAGGCTTTAGGGTTTAGGCTTTAGGGTTAACTTAGGGTTTCCGGGCATATTTTGCGAAAGTTACATGGCGACTACAAAGGGATATTATTGCGTGTGTTTTTCGACTCCTGTATTCAAAAGCCTCAAAGCGAGACCGCAAGGAACGGCTTGGCATGGAGAGGACGGAAGATGGCAAGCCGATCGCCTGAAACAGTCAGGGAGTTTAGGGTTTAGGGTTGTGCGTGTGTCTGTAGGGTTCGGGGTTTACCCTCGGGTCTAACACTAAACTTTTAAGTCCAGACTCCTACTACGGTTGATGTACAAGTCCTGCATGACCCATAATAAGGAATATACCAAAAAATCCCACAGTTTAGCGTCCTTAAGGTAATGCAGGATTTTTATCATCTACTTAAACCCTACCGGACCCTTATAGAACCTTATTCAATATATCATCAGCCTAAACCCTAAACCCTGGAACCCTATAAGATGCCTTAAAGGAGCCCCTTAAAAGGTACCCTTATAGATCCCTTTAAAGGAACAATATCATCAACCATAGAACTCTTGTCCTTTGGTGTGTTTTCTATCGGCTTCTGGAGTACCACGGACCCACCAGGGTTTGAGTTTAGGGGAACATGTTTCGGGGAACCTAAGGGTTCCTTTAAAGGGCTGCTATAAAATATCAGGGTTCCTTCAAAGGGCTCCATACGGGTTTTGAGTTTCCGAAAATTGGGGGGAGGGTACCTTGATTTGGGGTCCTTGAAATAAGGATCCTACGATGTAGTTTTGTTTCGGGTCCCCTATTCTCGGAAACTCCCACATGGTTCAGGGTGACGTCTGACTATCGACAAAGATTCGTCTTTAGGGTCAGTTAGTAGAGTTTCAGCGTAAAGCCCTATTTTACCTAGCTTGCTTTAGTAGAATACGACACCTAAATCCAGTTCGAACTAGCTCTAGTATCCCTAAACCCTAAACCCTAAACTATAAGTCCCCAAACCCTATTCAAATGACGGGTACAAAATGGTACGAAGGAGCCGAAGGGCCCGGTCCTAGAGGGGACAGCCCTGGGGGTGGGTAGGTTTCGGGTTTTCAGGTGTGCAGGGAACTCCAGAAAGTTGGAATAATCATATTCCAACTTTCTGGCTTTCACCTTAGGTTGGTACAGTAGAAGCCCAAAAGTTGGAAACCCAATAGCCTCAATGACTCAATCCAGAAGAGTAATGTAGAGGGCATCCCAGCACTATTTGGCCTTAATCCGGTTTCCAACTTTATGGGGTTTAGTGTAATGCCTCTACTCTGTAACAGTTAGGTAACATCTGGAACATGATTGTATATAGCCATGAATATGATCCCCAATATCCACCGTTACTAACAGGGTGGGGGGGCGGTGCTTAGGTTTTAGGGTTTACGGTTTAGGGTCGGGGTCGTCGGGGTTTTCGAGTTTGAGGTTTAGTCCTGGGGCAGGGTTTGGGCAGTAGCCCGAATGTTACCTAGCGCCTGTGTAGCCCGAAACCCGATTCCCTTTAGTATGTCTCTGTCTTAGATCCCCAATGCCCAACCTTTTAACTTTTTGGGTTCTTGCATTTTAGTAGGAATCGGAAAGTTTAACCTTTTGTTTCTGTGGCTTGTTGGGGTAGTAGCTATATTCCACCCCAGCTGCAACCCTTATACCGTTATACCCAAAACCCTAGAAGCCCTCACAAGACACTTGATGTCAACCCTCGAACCCCGAACCCGGAACCCTACAGCCCTTGAACCGTTGACTAGATCCCAACAGCGCCGCTATGCCCTTAGAAGACCATGATCCTCTGAGGGTTCTATAGAGGATCTGGGACCCCAAACCCGAAGCCCTAAACAGGGTTATGGGCTTTCTATGTCCACCAGTAGTGCGAGCATGCCCTTTTGCTGGAGTCCAAGGTGTTACTGAAAACCTTGGTTTGTTGAGTTCATTAGGGGTTTGGGTTTGGGGTTTAGAGCTTTCCGGAGTCACTCGATCGTTGTGGCAGGTTTCGGGGTTTGGGGGTCAGGGTTGAGCAGAATTGTGAGATCTCCCTGATTAGGGCGTCGCTTTGCTGGTTATACTGCGGGCTCCATGGTTCATCGAGGCTCCTGACCCTGTAGTTTGTTTTTTTATTAAACCCTAAACCCTAAACCCTTAAACCCTAAACCCTAAACCCTTAAACCCTAAACCCTAAACCCTTAAACCCTAAACCCTTAACCGTGTTGCACATCACATCGTGTGAGGAGGCGAGCAACATGGCACCGACACCTTGGGTCTTGAAGATGCGGTTTGGGTCGTGCCGAGCTCATCTGCCCCTTCCCTGATTCAGCGCAGCAACTTCCAAGCGACGTTGAATGAAAAGCATCGGGGCTCCTTCCTAATGGCTGACTAGGCTTACCAATGCTCAGTAGGGAATGGAAGAAAGGTAGTAATAGTAGTTATAATTGTACCCCATTCCTCCATTCCCTGCTAACCAAAGTTAAGGCTACCCAGACCCTGGGAGGATCTAGAAAGTAGATCGCCCAATTTGGGGCCCTATACTACTAAGGCTACCTGATGGGAAGCCCCGTTTAAGGGACCTACTTTTTGGATCCTTCCGGGGGTCTGGGGAGGAGCACGAGGAGAAGAATGGCTGGATGCAGGTGTCGACGCTGACCGGAGCCTCGAAGCGGTTTAGGGTTTAGGGTTCAGGGTTTAGGGTTTAGGGTCTGGCGGTCCCAAAGGCTCCATGTAGCCATATAGTAAGTACTTAGGCCTTAAAGTACCCATATAGGGACGCCTTCAAGGCCCAAGTGCTTACTATATGGGTATATGGAGTCTTAGGGGGTGGTTGGATGTGACTTCATCTTCATCTCGATGGTCGCAGTCGCACGATGCGTGGCATCATCGAGGAGAACATGGTAACGACCGCCAGGCAGAAGTGGAGCAGCAATTCATGAACGGCGCAACCCTCAGGGCCAAGGCGTCGCCTCCAGGTATGGCCGTAGGGAGTATTCACGAAGATTGATGGTTAGATGTCTAGCGTTTGACCTAAACTGAGTAAAATAGTTTGTTACGACTCGACTATTATAGTCACTGTTCTAAATATTGTTATCATCGTCATTATTGCAGTTTACCTACTTGGCGTCCTGAACCATCCACAGCTCTGTGTGTGTGGACCCCAAGCCCCCCATCGGGCCCACGCGCGATCCTTGCAGACTTGTATTATCATGATCCTAAACCGCCTAAACCCTAAACCCCAAGCCTCGACCCAGTCCCTATTCTAGACGTGCAGTTACCTTCCGGGCAGCGATGCAGCTCCAAGGAAGTTTAAAGCCTCCGAGCACGGGAACCGTGCCGGCTCGATCGCTGAGAATGCTGCTTGGACAAGTTAGTTTCGGCTTGGGGCATCTTGCCCCAAATCATGCATGAAACAGTAGCATAGAGATCAATGAATGGGATTTGGAGTCCCAAACCGAGACTCAACGTCTTGTTTCGTTCAGCCAGTCGTTCGAATAGATCAACCCCATACCCGGGTGAAGGGTGTAAGCTCTCAAACATGTAGGGCTTCTTGGTAGCAGTGCCCCCTTACAGTCCCTAGATGGTGTTCTATTAAATATATAAGTGCCTCAAAACCCTTCTCGAATGAATACTGCTGTCGAAGCACTCCAAACCTCGAGCCCCAAACCTGTGTCTTCCGGGCTCGAGTCCTATAGCCCGCAGATCTATCCCCCCGCTCCACGGCAGAAGGTTTAGGGTGCAGGGTTTATAGGGATTTAGGAGGTTTGAGGGTTTAGGAGTTTGGGTTTGGGGGTTTAGGGATTTAGCTTGGGTTCGTAGGGTGTACCTGTAGCCGGAAAGACCTACCTTTTTAGGGTTCCTTATTATGGTTTCGATCTATAGTTCCTTAAAACGGTAGGTCTTTTCGGCTACAGGTAGGGTTCAACTGTTTGGGGAGAGCCCCACGAAGATCTCGCGAGGAAGGCGGCTGGGTGGATGGCAAGATGACTGCTGCCCCTCTGACGCTTGGCGGAACGGTTGATGATAAGAATCCTGCACCCTAAACCCTAAACCGGGAATATATCATGATTCCCATAGAATAGGGTCCTTAAGGTAATGCAGGATTTGTATCATCAACAGAATCAGCTCGAAGGCAGGAGCCCTGAGTTTTGCGAAATACAGAGGGTCTGAATAATTACTCACGTTATGGCAAAGGGTTCCTGATTCTTATGATTGTACTAAATACACCGTAAGCATGCCCCAGAACCCCCCTACTGTAATTCTTGAGGCCCTTACATCAGGGTTTGGGGTCAAGAAGTCTTTACACCACCGCCCCCCCCCCCCCGTGAGCTTCAGCCGGGCTCCAAGTCAAGCTTACTTACTTTTCGGGACAGTTTCATGCCACCCTGCATACATAGGTATACCTGGTAGCTGAGTAGCTCAAACCCGAAACCCTAAGCCCCTCATCCCTGAAACCCTAAATCCTAAAGTTCTGAGTCATGTTTCACCTCTACAAGCCCTTGGAGGGCAGGCTGCTTGCAGGAGAAAGGCCGCCATTGTAGGTTAAAAAAAAGCTAAAAAAACCCTAAGCCCAAAACCCTATGCCACGGAAGCCATTAAAGTCCTAGAGCCCGGAAGTCCTAAAAATCCTAAACCCTTAAATCTTAGAGTTCTAAACCCTAAACTTAGTAGCTGAGTGGATACACTTTACAGTTTTTGGGATCATACTACCCATTATAAAACAAAAAGTGTGCACTTTTTGGGGCTTATGAACTCAGCAACTAAGCTAAACCCTCATGAGGCTGCACGGCCGGGATCCGGCGCTTCGCTTCGGCTTCACGGCAGGCGGGCGCGTTTTTCTGTTGGCTTTTTTTTTACTAGGGATTTTATGGTTCATGGTTTAGGGTTTCAGGCTTTCAGGGTTTAGAGTTTGGGGTTTTAGGGTTTAACTAGGGTTTGGGGATTTGGGATTAAAGGAGAGGTAGTTTTGGTTGTGGATCCAATCCCTTCGGTGGTGTTGAATCCAGCTGTTGCTAGGTGGGCCATTGGGACACGTTGGATTGGGACATCTTCTATTGACCTATTCTCGGTGTTGTATGTTTTTTGCATGTTTTTCGGCATGCTTGAGGGTCGGGGAACTTAGCAATGAGATATTAAGTAGACTTACAAGAACCCTGAAAGGGATCCTAATGCAGGTTATGGTACTTGTAAGTCTCTGAACTAAATAGTTATTAAGTCCCCTGGCCCTCCAAGCAGGTGTTTGTGGACTTTAGGAATCTGGACTGCGAAGCGTTTGGCCAAGTCAGGACTTATATAGAAAGCGTGCAACTTTCTGGTGATCAGACGGTTTAGGGCGTAGGGCTGATAAGTAAAAGATATCTGTGAATCCTGCACCGCACAGCCCCCGAACCTTGAACCAAACCCTCAAAGCTTGAAGCCATAAACCGTCAGCCATGACTACACTCCGGTATTGTCAGCATTGCTGGCTTTCGGTGATTAGGTTAGTGGGGGTGTAAGTTTTGGAAGTTCCGGGGATTTAGGTTTAGGTTGCAGGGTACAGCGCTTGAGTTTTGTTTGGATGTGTTGTTTTTCCCTATTCTTTGTAGGTTAAACCATAAACCCTAAACCCTAAACGTTCGAAGGCTACGGGGTTTCAGGTTTCTCACGTGTCCGGGTGGTCTGCAGAGGCCTTTCAGAACTGATGTCTCACACAGATGGCTTCTTGGAGGGTCAGGGGACTTGGTCTGGGTTCTCGTGTGGTACGTACCCTTATCCTCTTTTGAAGAGGTCGCACCCACCATCGCCCGCCTCAGATCAAGTTTCTAAGAGCCTTCGGATAAGACAACCCTGTTAGGACGCCGTGGCACTCATAGAGGGTAGGTACCCCCCTCAGGACAAGACAGGGTGTTCGGTCTGTCCCCTTTTTTCTGTTTGTCATAGTTACTTGCTAGGGTGGATGATGATATCCTTCCACAGCTTTCCGGTTCTGTGGTGTTGAAGCGCTTGGATCTTCATGTCAGTATGCATGCACAAGGTCATTCGCCTCGTGTAGAGAAAATGGGAATCATTTCACTGGCTTCCAACTGGGCCAGCACATCCAAGCAGAAACAAAAAAACGGGCCCTTATTCAGTCGGCTTCGCAGAAGAACCGAGTATTAAGCTATGTTATAGGTATGTAAGTATCATAACCTCAATAGGACACCGTTCTGGGTACTTGTACGTCTACTTATTACCTACTTACAAATCCCCCGACCCTTCAGGTTCTCATACAGCGGGATCTAGGACGTCATTCTTTTGCCCCAAAGAAAAGCCCTGCTAAAGGGATCTCCAAAATTGTTACCCGAAACTGGGAACCCTGATCTCTACATCCTAAAAGAGCCCACGGCACCTGACAAATTCCAATGAAAAAGGACGGACAGTTTTGTCATGAAGAAGTATGGGAGTTTCAGAAAATTGGAAATGCGGCCGCTTTCGTAGAACTCAACATGATGCAGCCCTTGTTTTGAGCCCACATGTTCCTTGAAGCCACGACTGTCGAGGTGACGGTCTCCGCATTGCAGAGGGTACGCCTCTGCTTCAGCAACTCGGTCGACTCTATGGGCGCTTGAAAAGAGTTTTAGGGCTGACTTGAAGGGTCGGGGGACTTGGCAAGCATTTTTTTGACTTATAAGTATTTAATTATAAGTACCATAACACCAATTAGGATCCAGGGATGTAGGGCTCAAAGTTCAAAGGTTTTGTTGGAGTGAGGCATTTATCGGTTTATCTTGCTTTCCGCATGAAGGACTCTGTAGAGCCTCTGGCGGGCTTCGTCGGTTTAATTACAGTGTCATAGGCTGCTTCGAGGGTTCGGGGTTCAAGGTTCTCGGAGCAAGAAAGGTGGTTCAGGGATCAGGGCCCCTAAATCCTAAACCCTAATCTGAGATTTAAAGGATTTGGGGCTTTAGAGGTTCAGGGCCGTAGCGTTCAGGTATTGAGGGCTTCAGGGTTTGAGGCATAGTTTTCGAGTCGGGTTTAAGGTTTGGTGGTATCTAGCTCTTCAAGTTCCAGGTTGAAGAGTTCAGGCCTTCGGGGTTCTTGACTTAGGCGAAAGGGATACGGTATGCTGACTGAGGGTTCTGCCGTGGAGCTGGGAGAAGCCAACAGCCTTACTACTTTCAGGAAACCGTAAACGCTAAACTGTTCAACGATCCGAAGCCGTAATCCTTTAAAGTGCGCAAAATCCTTGGGGTTCGACGACGAGGTTATTTCTTCAACCCTAAACCCTAAACCCTAAACCAAAACCCTAAACCCTAAACCCTAAACCCTAAACCATGTGGGCTTGACTGTTTGCGGCTTGGGATCTGATCTTCGGGTGCAGCACTCCCCAGAGACTCCAAAACCCCTTAATTGAGGAATATACCTTACCTGGGGATCCAAAAGCCTACGGTTTTAGGGGTTAGACCCTCTAATTAAGGGGTCATAACCTACTATTTTGTAGGGTTTGGGGATACAGGTACATTATAGTAGGATTCCTTATATGATTTAAGGAATATTCCTTAATTAAGGGGGTTTTGGAAGCTCTGGGTCCATGATTTTGGGGATTAGGATTCAGGGTTTACCCTAGACCCCTTTCATCCAAGCCCTATAAGCCTAATCTCTAAAAACTAACACCTATAAAACCGTATACTCCAAATTAAAGACCTTAAACTCTGAATCAAACCCAAATTGAAAAAACACCCTATGTAAGCCGTATATAAGGTCTTGGAGTGATTTCGGGCCCCAGGCTCCGCAATGTCTCCTATACGTACCCGGGCTCCAGCGACCCCTCCCTCGTGGATGTCGATACTTGGCTGGAGTGTTTCGATGATTCCCAGGCTCTAGATATATCTTTGTTTAGGTTTGAGGGTTTCGGATTTAGGATTCGGGGTTTAGGGTTCGGTGACTCGTTAAGGCTCTAGATACGGTTTGTTTACGTTTAAGGGTTTCGGATTCAGGGTTTAGGTATAAGGACTCACATGTTGAGGCATTGGGGCCCAACGACCATTGTGTGCCCGTAGTGTGCTGTTTTTGTTTGGCTACGTTGGGCTGTAGCGATTGAGGCTTAAGGGCTTGCAGCATTTCAAGCCAAGAAATCCCTACCCTCCAAATTTCTTCCAGCAGGTAAAGCCGCCGAAGCTCCAAAAAGCGGAATCCCAAAACACATCTTTGGGGATTCGGCTAAAACGTGTCAATTGGGATCCTCGGACATGCTTGTAAACTACTTGTTTCATAGGGTTTAGGGTTTAGGGGTTAGGGGTTTAGGGTTTAGGGGTTTAGGCGTTTAGGGTTTAGCGGTTTAGGGTTTAGGGTTTCTGGTGTTGATGTGCCGTGCCGTGATATCACGGACCTTCACCTATGTGTGTCTCGATCGGTTGCTTGTGGAATGGCTGAAAGTCCTAGAACTCAACCTCCAAACCTTACACTCTAAACCCCAAAGCCCTAAACCCTTAACTTTGCACACCCTCAACCCCGAAACCCCTGACTTAAATCGACATTTTGTAAAGCCATTACATAAAGTATCTGCTGCACAAGGACTTGTCGATTTCCGTTGGCAGCCACCTGGCTCTCCAGGGCCAAAATGGCACCTCGGAGGAAATGAGCGTTTAGGGATTATTTGGGGTTTAGGGTTTTAGGGTAGTGTTGTTTATAGTGGTTTTAGGGTTACCGGGTTTAGGGTTTATAGGGCAAGGGGTTTAGGGCTTCTAGCATTTAGGGTCTACCCTTGATCCCCAGTTCCCCAGTACCCCAAACTAGAGTAGTATTTATTCAGGCAATCCGAAATGCGAGTCCTGACTTAGTAAGTAATTAGTAGAGTGAAAAATGCCCTAAAAGGATCCTGTAGTATTTAATAAACCCTAAGCCCTAAACCCTAAACCCTAAGCCCTAAACCCTATTTGGGGTTAATGACACTTACATTTCTATAAGATAGCTACGTACTAAGTCCCCCGACCTCCGTGGAGCGCCGGGTCAAGCCCAAACTGGACCCTGAATTTCCTGAATCCTCAACCCGTGAATTTCGAGTGCTAACTAAGCCCTAAACCCTATACCCTAAACCCTAGACCCTCTGAGGCGGGCCCTGAGACCTGCTTGTCTGCGGAGAAAGAGCCACTGCACCTTAAGAAAAAAAACTCTAGACCCTAAAGCCTTCTGAGGGCTTGAGCTCTTCGGCGAGCGTGTGTTGCGACGAGAGATGGAACCCCAAGGGTTGGTTTTTGGTTTTCGGGTTCAGGGTTTTAGGGTTAGATGGTTCAGATTTTGGGGTTTGGGTGTAGGAAAACTTCGGGTGGATGTCGTTTCATCTCCTGTCTGAGGAGGTTCGTGCGTAGCATGCTGGATATAGAGGCCTGCAGGAGGTACGATAGGATTTTGAGGGTTTTATAGTGATGTGTAGTGATGCGAACACCCTAAACCGTAAACCCCTAAACCCTAAACTAAAAGCCTAAGTGCGGTACTGTTCCCGGTCATACAGACCTTTACGCTATATTGATTACACAGCCCGAAGCCTCAAACTTGAACCCAGAAAACCTAAAGCCTGAACCATCCTAAACTCCATGAGTCTTTTAAACCCTAAACCCCTAAACCCTAAGGCCCACACCCTCCTAAGCTCCAGTAGTCTATAGACCCCAGAAAGCTTACAAGCCCTATATGGGAGCTTCCGAAAATAGGGGACCCTAATCTAGTACCCTAGACAGAAGGATCCTAATTATAAGGACCCCCAAAATGAGGTACCCCTAATTTTCGGAAGCTCCTTACATAAAACCTATATAAGCCGCACAAAGCCCCCAATCCTATGCGTGCTTGGAGGGTCGGGGGACTTAGTAAGTAGTTATTAAGTAGAGTTATAAGTACCCTAAAAGGGATCCTGATGGGGGTTATGGTACGTATAAGTCTGTAAAATAACTAGTTACTAAGTCCTCCGACCCTCCCAAGTAGACCCTAAGCCCTAAACCCTGTGGATCCCTTTTAAGGAACCCCAATAGATCCCTTTAAGGAGCCCTTTTAAGGAACCCTTACTAAGTCCCTGTGAGAGGTGCCGGCAAGTCCACCCTGGTGAAGCTCATCTGCGGAGATGCGGAGCCAACAGACGGCGAGGCAAGGCAGGGTCTCTACTTGGAGGATCATGGGACTTAGTACGGGTTCTTTAAGGCCTCCTTCAAGGGATCTATAGGGTTCCTTGAAGGGGTCTATAGGGTTCCTTAAAGGGATCTATAGGCTATTATAGGGTTCCTTAAAGGGATCTATAGGGTTCCTTAAAGGGATCTATAGGCTATGATAGGGCTCCTTAAAGGGATCTATAGGGTTCCTTAAAGGGATCTATGATCCTTTAAGTAGGGCTGGGTCTACCCAGAGGCTCCATAGTAGTTCTTTTTTGGGATTACCTTATAGGATTCAATATATGAACCCCAAAAAGGAACTACTATGGAGCCTTAGGGTAGGGCTTGCATGCTTCCTACACCGGTATATTCGGTTTAGGGGTTTAGGGGTTTAGGGGTTTAGGGTTTAGGTTTACTATGGTTGTAAGTGGGGTAGCTAAGTGGGGTACTTATAACCCATATTACAGGACTCATAACCCCACTTGTAACTACCCATGAACCTCCAGTAGGGCTTGCGTGCTGCCTAAAACAGTTTCTATTCGGTTTACCTAGAGGGTCATACCCTGCCCCTTTTTTTAGGGTACAAAGCCTTATGGTTAGGATGTCCTATATAGAAAGTAGGTACCTTAAAAAAGGGGTAGGGTATGAGCCTGTATAGGTACTATAAGGGCTAAGTACGGGGGCCTGAATGGGTCTTGGTTTCGGATGGGCCGCTCGTAGGGTTTAGGCCTTGTAGGCTTGAGGTTTTGTAGGGTTAATATAGGGGCCTCAATAATTAGCTATACTGTTGTGGGGGTTCCTTATTATATTAATAGTATAGTGGGCCCCAAAACTCTATTCTAATTATGAAGGCCCCTACATTACGCATTCGGACTTTAGAAAGAAAAGGCTTCAGTGTATGCGGGCTCTTTAAAGTGTATGATCGGTGAGTACATGTTTGGGGTGTTATTTCGGTGACACCAGTGTTACAATCCTAATTCGCAGAACGTTTGGGGTTGGGCAGGCATGCATGGACGCAGGGAGGGCATCCACAGTCGGTATCGCGCAGCAGCTTGAAATCACCAGGACAGTGTTCCACTCAAAATCTTGATAATGTCCTTGGACGAAGTAATTACAAGACGTTCTTTCCTATTGTTTGTGTCCAGGGGTGAGGACGGTTTGTGGTTGCCCCCCGAATCCCATACCAAACTCGAAACCCCCATAGCGAACCAAAATGCCCTAAAAGCTCGTAACCTTGCAGAACCTTCGAGGTACCCCTATTGCTAAATCCCAAATCTTACAAACCCCTCATGCAAGGGGATGTCAGAAAAAAGTGATACCCTCATGCAAGGCCTGCTTCGCCCCAACAGACCCTTACAGTACCCCTTCGTAGGATTGATTCCAATAATGAATTCAAGGGTAAAAGGAGGGATCCTGAATAACGACCCCTAGGTATTATAGCAATTATATACCCTTTGTATAGCCCACTATAGGGTTGGGGTCCTCATTAAGGGTCCCTCCTTTTCCCCTTTTGAGTAAACAGACCCTCTTGCCCCCAAAGCCAGAGCTCTATGTCCGAGGTGTGGAGGCATCAGAGTTTGAAGGTTTCCGTCTTGCGCCAGCCGCTCGCCAACCTCTTTAAGAGGGGTTGGGTTTGAGCTTTAGGGGTTTAGGGCTTTAGGACTTTAAGGACTTTGGGGCGGCACATGACGCGGAGTGGTTCTTGGAGAAGCTCAGCGTAGAAGCACCGAAATGTTGGTCGAGGTGCGGCTTCACGCTGTTGCAGACTTCCGATCTCGTCTTAAGGATTTACAGCGTTAGTGTGTAAGAGCGCCGAAGGAAACAGGCAACATAGCACAAGCAACAGCAACTGAACACGGATAAATCTGCAAGAGTAGAGCCCCAAGCCCGAACGCACAAAAACAGGAACGGAGCCTAAGACTCTTAGCCGCCAAGCCTTCCAGCAACACTACGCCTTCAGCGCAGAGACCCCAAAACCTAGTAGTAGAGTAGATACCTTTCAACTTTTTTGGGTAGTATAGCCCCTACATAATCCTTATATACCCCAAAAGTTAGCCTTTAGTTCCCCATGATATCCGACAAGTAGGAAACCTCCTGTTTCACACTCCGAGAACGCAACCTTCGAGCTCCGTCACCCTAAAGCCGTGGAGTTGTTATGCCCCAACTTAGGAAACAAACCCAATCCCAAGGGTCCAAAGGATCCTACAATTGAGTATTTGGGTTTAGGAAAGTAGTTTTTGTGGATTACTATCCCTAATGACCTAATGTTCCATGTGCCCATATAGCATATACTTTGGGCCCAATGTACCTGCATAGGGAGTACTTTAAGGCCAATGTATATACTATGTGAGTACATGGACCCTTTAGATATCTTGGAGAGTATATGATAACTAGGTACTTGGACGCTTAGGGCAACAGCGAAGCCTTAAACACCTTTAAATCCTGAAAGGCGGTTTAGGGTTTAGAGTTTAGGGTTTGGGGTTTAGGGCTTGGGGTTTAGGGTTTTGGGTTTAGGGATTCTGAGCCCAAATTCTCCAAATCGATAGACAAAGCCTTGAATCCAAGCCTTGACGCACCAAGCCCATGCAAAAACCCTGAGAGAACCCTAGCCGTCCGCTCCGAATAATACAAAAACCTCAAACCACAAATCTAAACCCCTATGCCCCAAAACGCGTAAAACCAAAGCCTCAAATCTTTCCCAAAGCCTATCTGAGACACGACACCGATTCTCTGGCGAACCGAACTTCCTCGGCGATAGAGTGCCTGGGACAAGGTTTATGGTTTAGGGTTGTCCATTCGGGGTTTCAGTGTTTAAACAGGAAAATTCAAGAGCTTAGAATTCCTTCTTTGAAGGAATCATTCGGCTTTCAAGCTCGGGCCGAAAGACTATAGTCTCCTTAGGAATTATTTCTCTACTTAGTTACTTCTGTTCATATAGAACCGAAGAGAATATTAAACAGACATATTTTTCATTATGGTTCTAAGGGGGGTGTAGAAGAACTAAGCTTGCACGGAGAACCCGGGAGGAAGATCCAGGGTTGAGTTGTGGTCTTTGCTTGGAGGGTCGGGGGACTTAGTAACTAGTTATTTTGGAGACTTATAAGTACCATAACCCCAATCAGGATCCCTTTTAGGGTACTTATAAGTCTACTTACTACCTACTTACTAAGTCCCCCGACCCTCCAAGTGGGCCTACTTGGAGGCTCATGGGACTTACCTAGAGGCTCATACCCTACCCTTTTTTTGGAATACCTAGTTTTTTGGTTAGGATCTGTTGTCTGAAAAAGTAGGCGCCCTTAAAAAGGGGGTAGGGGATGAGCCTCTAGGTAGTAAGTAGGGTTGTAAGCACCATAATTGGGGCTATAAGTACTTATAAGTATAGCTAGCCTAACTATAACCCTAGTTACTAAGTCCCATGACCCTTTAAGTAGGGGTACGAGCTCGGGGTGAATGATTCGGTGTGAAGTTAATGGTATAAGTTTTAGCGTTGGCTTAGGGTTCAATGGCTTGTGAATCAAGGGTGCATGGTCTAGGAATGGAGGTTATATCCTAAACCTTGAAAGCTAAAGCTTCAAGGCGCGGAATCATTTCGCCAGCTTCAACCAAGAACCCCTGCCAAGGTTCATTGGTTCGGGGATCTTGTTGCTTAAGAGTTTGCGGCTTCATGTCGAAGTTCTTGGCATTTTCCCTTCCTGTCTCTGCTTGGGGAGTGTTTTGTTGCTACAGGCCATTGTCGGGGCTTTGTGGCTGTAGGTGTGCACTTCAGGTCCCCTGTCAACAGTAGTACTTCGGTTGATGATATAAATCCTGCATTACCTTAATGACCCTAAACTATGGGAATTATGGCATATTCCTTCTTATGGGTAATGCAGGATTTATATCATCAACCGTTAGACCCTGTAGATTGATCAAGCCTTCTTCCGGGAAGGTGATCCTACTCTTCACAGTGCTGACATGTAAAGCTATCATCCTTAAGCTATATGGGTGGTTGCCAAAATTAGGGTCCCTTTCTGGGTCCGTATTATAATACGGCACCTAGTATTTAGGGTACCCAATACGGGACCATCATTCTGACAACCACCTATTTGTTGGTTACATTGGACCTTGACAGTTCGGTCCCTGCAGGTACATGGGTGAGTGTTACCCGAAGATGAAGGACACCCTCGAGACACTCGTAGTTGGCCCAGATCATTTTTGACCCTGTCGGCCCTTTCGGAACCCATGAGAAGCCCCTACAGCGACCTCGCGGAATCTGAACCTTCCTCTGCGGGGTTTGAGGATTTAGGGTTTAGTCCTTCTGACCCCAACAGCAAAGAAACGAACCTGATACAGTAGAAGCCAAAAACTTGGAAACCCCATAGCCTCAATCCTGAAGAGTAATGTAAGGAATCCCAGCACTATTTGGCCTTAATCCGGTTTCCAACTTTATAGGGTTTACTGTAGTCCTTCTGGCCCCAAACTAGACAGAAACGAACCTGATACCTGGTTGGGGGCTGTCGGCTTAGCTGGATGGGATTACGTGCATACTGCGGTTTTCACGTCAACTGGCGTATCTGTCGAGTGGGTACGGTTTAGGGTCTTTTAGGGTTTAGAGTTTAGGATTTCTGTCGCCGATCTTTGCTTTCAGACCGTGTCGCCACGCAGCAGAAGCAGGCCACGCATTATATCATTGCCCAGTGACAGTGAGAACTACCTTTTGTTTCCATTGTACATCTTTTTTTGGGGATGCCTTTTCGGATCCCAATTATGAGTTTGGCTAAAGCAAAAAAGAAATTCAATGGAGACTATAGGTACTAACTATTGAATATACCATAAGTCCCATAGTTTAGGGTCCTTGAGGTAATGCCGGATTTTTATCATCAGCCGCACCCTTGACGCAAACTTACCATTTCCAAGAAACGACCTTGGAATGGGGGTCGGACACTGACACAAATGGGGCGGCTTTCAAGAGATGGGAGATTCCGAAGATATGGGGGCCCTAATAAAATACCCTGAATAGTTGGATCCTTATAAGGACCCCAAGATAAGGAACCCCTAATTTTCGGAAACTCCAATATGTGGCCCAATCCTTTTCATACCTCAGCCTGCCGATAGCTTTGCATCCTCATGCGACTTTTGGGGAATGGCGCGTCAAGATTCGTGGGTGGCATTACCCTGAATCCCGCCTTCCAACCAAAAGCTCGACACACAAAACCGCTAGCTAAGTGTTTGGGGTTCAGGTCCTCATGCCTAATCTTGAGAAAGAGGTTTAATAACACCGAAGCTTGAGCAGTTACCAAGTAGAAGTGTGTCCTAGATTGTTATCACTGTCTATACTGCACCCCAACGCCCTGTTCTAACAATTGTTACAGCCCTCTCAACCCTAAACTCGAAACCCTAAACCCACTTAATTCAGCCAAAAGCGGTCTGGTCCCTAAACCCCTAAACCCCTAAACCCCTAAACCCTAAACCCTAAACCATCTGCATGAGTAAGGCCCCTTTCATTATTGATCCAACATACGAAGCGGTCTCGTCAAGTAGTCATCCTGGCACACTAAACCCCTAAACCGTGAACCGCAAACCCTGAACCGTTAAGCCTTAATTCCCTCTACCCTAACCCCTAAACCCTGTTTGGATCTTGGCTAGTTTCAAGAGTAATGCTCTATCTGCTAGTTCCGGGTGAGGGCGTATGGTACGGGACGTATGGGGCGAACGGTCGGGGCATATGGGACGCATGGTACGGTACATATGGGACGCATAGTACGGAACACAAGGAGCATAGTACTGTACATATGGGACGCATGGTACGGTACAGGACACCTGGTACGGAACACAAGGAGCATAGTACTGTACACATGGGAGACCGTACCGACCGTACTGTCCGACTGTACCGTACCGCCCATGCCGACTGCACCGATGTACCGTACCCAAATTAGCAGAGCATCTCCAAGGATTAGCAAAGCAATGCTTTGCTAATCCTTGGAGATGCCCTTCTAATTTGGGTACGGTACATCGGTACGGGCGGTACGGTACAGTCGGTACAGTCGGCACGGTCTCCCATATGTACAAGCCGCCCCATATGTACCACCAAGCGGCACCATACGTACCGACACCTTAAACCCTAAACCCTATACCGTTACCCTATAGCTAAACCCCAAACGCTTTCTGGGATCCCTTCAAGGAACTCATTATAAGGTCCCTTTTAGCAGGAGCCCTAAAACAGGACCTTGAGCTCCGAAAGCAACTGGGAGCCTTCGGCGTGGCTGCCGGGATGCACCGGTTCAGGGGTTCGGGTCTAGGCCCATAATCTTCGTTTAAGGGGATCCTAGAAGGGCTCCTTTCAAGGGACCCCAAAAAGGGTTTAGGGTTTAGGGCTCGGAGCTGGGGGTTTAGGACGTAGAGTTAGGGTTTAGGAATGTTCAGGATTTAAATTTAGGGGTTAGGGGTTCAGGTTTAGGGGTTTAGGATCTCAGGTTCGAGTCTAGGGTTTCGATTTCGGGTTTGGGGGCCAAGGATTGCCGGTTCGGGCTTAGGGCTTGGATTTCGGGTTGAGTGCGGGGTTTCGGATTAACGGTTTAGGATTTAGTGTTTAGGATTCGGGGTTTGGGGTTGAGGGCTTGATAATGGTCGTAGAAACGGATGTTGTGCAGGTTTCTGTGTGCGTTTCCGAGAGTTGTATGGTGGTTTACAGGTTGAGAGCTTGCAGGGTTTGATGGTGCAGGTCTCACGGGGTAGGATTCGAGGCTGTATTTGGGACTGCGTTGTCAGGGAGTTACAGCAAGGCTCGGAGTGAATTGCCAGGCAGGAGATCTGGTTTTCCAGTCCTTGTCGACGCTCTCCGGTGGCCAGCGCATGCGCGTGCTCTTCGCGAAGAGTCTCTGGCTCGAAACAGAAGGCAGCAGGAGGCTTATCCAGCCTGATCTTAAACCCTATACCCTAAACCCCGAAACCTGCCTAAACCCGCAACCGTTTTAAGGACTCATACAAGGACATCCGGACCCTAAAAAAGGTAGGTTCTTTGGGTTCCAGGTAGACCCTGAAATCTCAAACCTCCGAACCCCACAGCCGGCAAGCCCAAAACAATCCCACTAACCAAAACACCACTACACCACGCTACAGAACCCTCCTCACATACGCCCTCAAACCTGACACAGTTCAAAAACCCAACCTCTAGGTCTGATCAAGTCCAGTGAAAGAACCCTTTATTATAGAATTTCTCTGAGAACCTGCTAGGAACCCTTCCGTTTATAGAACCCTTGGAGGAAACCGTGAAGGCACCTTAAGGCCCGTAAGCCATCTCGCGAGACATCCGAAGCTCTCAGGATTTGCATGGAGCACCCGCAGCTGCTGGTACTCGATGAGCCGACGAACCATCTGGACAAGTGTAGGGGTTCAGGGTTTAGGGTCTGCATGAAGCCTTGAAAACCTCTCGAGCGAGTTTTCGACACCGCTAAGCCGTAAACTTTGAACCCTGAACCCGGCACGCTGAGCGCTTGGGTACGGCTCAAGTGATTCACGGAAGTGCCGCCCGTGCCATGTTACTAAAGGGGAATAGCGGTTTGGTGTATATTAAACAGTAATTATAATAAGGAACCCCTAAAATAGCACAGGCACGTATTACTTATTACTTACATGAAACGCAGACACCACGAAGCGTTCATGAGCGTGTCACAGCCTGCAGAGGCCGGTACGGACAGTGCCAAGCAGACCGTGACCGTTCACTGCCTGGCAGGTTCTAGCTTTGAGCTGGAGGTCGATTCTGCCCAAACGGGTTGGGAAGTAGCGGAACGCATCGCAGAAGGAGTTGGCCACCATGCAGGTTTAGTTGTGCTGACATCCGGTGGTTGTGTCATCGATCAGTCTCAGCTGCTGCTGCATCAAGTCCAGCATGGCGAGATCTGGTACGTGGTGCGGAAGCTTGGAGCGGGTCGTCTTGCGATGCTTTGGGAGCGCCTACTCGAGGAAACGACTCTGTCTGATGTAGCTGCCCTGAACGAAACGAAGTCACTCACATGGTTTTCCAACCAAGAGCTCAGCCAGGGCATCCAACTACCCAGCAGCCTGGAGAGCTTGACGTTTGGTCAGCGGTTCAACCAGAGGTTGGATGGCCTCCAACTACCGAGCAATCTGCAGAGTTTGACGTTTGGTCGCGAGTTCAACCGAAGCTTGGAGGGCATCCGACTGCCCAGCAGCCTTCAGAGTTTAACATTTGGCTTTGCATTCAACCAAAGCTTGGAGGGCATCCGATTGCCCAGCAGCCTGCACAGTTTGACGTTTGGCGACAAGTTCAACCAGAGCTTGGAGGGCATCCAACTTCCTAGCAGCTTGCAGAGTTTGACATTTGGCGAGAAGTTCAACTTGAGCTTGGAGGGCATCCAGCTACCCAGCAGCCTGCTGAGCTTGACATTTGGCCACGAGTTCGACCAGAGCTTGGAGGGCATCCAACTTCCCAGCAGCCTGCAGAGTTTGAGTTTTGGCCGCGAGTTCAACCAAAGCTTGGCGGGCATCCAGCTGCCCTGCAGCCTGCAGAGTTTGACGTTTGGCGACCAGTTCAACCAGAGACTGGTGGGCATCCAACTACCCAGCCGCCTGCAGAGTTTCACGTTTGGCTACCAGAGCTTGGACGGTATCCAACTACCCGGCAGCCTGCAGAGTTTGACTTTTGGGCACTACTTCAACCAGAGCTTGGAGGGTAGCCAACTACCCAGCAGCCTGCAGAGTTTGACGTTTGGTCAGCGGTTCAACCAGCGGTTGGATGGCCTCCAACTACCCAGCAACCTGCAGAGTTTGACGTTTGGCTTCGAGTTTAACCAGAGGTTGGATGGCCTCCAACTACCGAGCAATCTGCAGAGTTTGACGTTTGGTCGCGAGTTCAACCAAAGCTTGGAGGGCATCCGACTGCCCAGCAGCCTTCAGAGTTTAACATTTGGCCATCAGTTCAACCAGAGCTTGGAGGGCATCCAGCTACCCAGCAGCCTGCAGAGTTTGACGTTTGGCCACCAGTTCAACCAGAGCTTGGAGGGCGTCCAGCTACCCAGCAGCCTGCAGAGTTTGACCTTGGGCAAACACGTCAACCAGAGCTTGGAGTGCAGCCAACTACCCAGCAGCCTGCAGAGTTTGACGTTTGGTCAGCGGTTCAACCAGAGGTTGGATGGCCTCCAACTACCCAGCAACCTGCAGAGTTTGACGTTTGGCTTCGAGTTTAGCCAGAGGTTGGATGGCCTCCAACTACCCAGCAACCTGCAGAGTTTGACATTTGGCCACCAGTTCAACCAGAGCTTAGAGGGCGTCCAGCTACCCAGCAGCCTGCAGAGTTTGACATTTGGCTTTACATTCAACCAAAGCTTGGAGGGCATCCAATTGCCCAGCAGCCTGCAGAGTTTGACGTTTGGCCACCAGTTCAACCAGAGCTTGGAGGGCATCCAGCTACCCAGCAGCCTGCAGAGTTTAACGTTTGATTTTAAATTCAACCAAAGCTTGGACAGCCTCCAACTACCCAGCCGCCTGCAGAGTTTGACGTTTGGCTACGAGTTCAACCAGAGATTGGATGGCATCCAGCTACCGATCAGCCTGCAGAGTTTGACTTTTGGCTGCGAGTTCAACCAAAGCTTGGAGGGCATCCAGCTGCCCAGCAGCCTGCAGAGTTTGAATGTTGGCGAAGAGTTCGACCAGAGCTGGGAGGGCATCCAACTACCCAGCAGTCTGCGAAGTGTCACTTCACAGAACTTTCGCGTAGCCACGTGGTGAGCCGCGCTGGTTTGGCCGAAGCCAGGGCAACTAGGTCGAATGTTGCAGCTTCTTGGTTTGCGAAGAACGTCCGACATCAGGGCACCTGGTATCGACATCGTCGCTCCTTCCTGACCTTGAGCCCTAAACCCTAAACTCCAAAACCCCGAACCCCAAACCCTAAACCTTAAGCCCAGAATCCTAGACTTTGGCAGCCTGACCGTTCGAGAAGACATTGAACGAGAAAGAAGCCCAAGCCGTGATGCCGCGCACAAAACATGCTGAGTGATGTTTGCCGCTAGCTTACTGTAGAGACCTTACAATTAGAATAGGGTTGTGGAGTTCCTGATTATATTTCAGTTTATTATCCCCCGAAGCCTTATTGCAATTATTAAGGCCCGTAATTTAAGGGGTGATTGGGCACAAGCATTTTTTCATGGTGCATGCTTCCATGAAGCGAGCGCCGGACCTGCGCCGCGGAGAGAGGGCTAGTGCATCTTACAACAAGCCCATTGTAAACCCTAAACCCCTAAACCCCTAAACCCCTAAACCCTTAAACCCTCAAACCCCCAAATCCTTAAACCCTTAAACCCTGAAACCCTTAAACCTCTAAACCCTAAACCCCTAAACCCTAAAACCCTTAAACCCCTAAACCCTAAACCCCGAAACCCTAAACCCCGAAACCCCAAGCCTTGAAGCCAGAAGGCTTCCTTTCAGCGTTTCTGTCAAGGTCCCTTCAAAGGTTCCTATATGGGTGGTTGTCAAAATTAGGGTCCCTTTTTGGTTAGCCTAAATATTAGGTGCCGTATTATGATAAGGACCCAAAAAGGGGCCGTAATGTTGACAACCACCCATATCGGTTCTGTCAAAGGTTCAGTAAAAGTCCATTTGTAAGGTTTACGCTTAGTTTACAGAGACCAATTTCACAGTCTATAGTAGTTGAGGCCTGAACCCATGCTGTTTCAGTACTTGGACCCACTTGGTACAGGAACGGTTACAGTAGGGGCCGACATTATTACCAACACTGTTGTGGGGGTTTCCTTGTTAGAACTATACTATAAAGGAGCCCAAAGCCCTTTTCTAATTTAAGGCGCCTACATGAGGGGTTTAGGGTTTCGAAAATTGCAGGATATCTATTCCATCGAGGCTCTCTCCGTTGCCCTGGCGGAGCCTGGTGTGAGTTCCTTTCAGTCACTGTTTCTAGAGAGTCCAATACACCCTCTTGAGACTTTTTGCGGGGTTTATTAGAGGTTAGGGTTTGGGCTGAGGAAGAGTTGTTGCTTTAGCCAAGACGTCTTGGTGTCAGTGGGACAGGGTTTGTCATGTCAGGCTTCATATAGGGTGTTCGGAACTAGAAGTAATGTCCCTTGGAAGCCCATGCATATATGGTTATGTAAGTTATGTACACACACATACACATACATAGTACATCACAAGACACAAACACACACGTGTATGTGTGTGTATATATATACATACACACATGAACAGGTAAACCTCTCGCTATTTCTACATATATGCAAAGAAAATTCATTATATATATCACACGTTCATGTCTACAAGCAAAACTTATATCCAAGTGATCATATGAATATGTAAGCCATGCAAATATACCATACAAATGTGTATATGTATATACATACATACATACATACATACAAACATACATACATACATATATATATATATACATATATACGTACATACATACACAGACACATATCTACATACCTACCTACCTACCTACCTACCTACTTGCATACATACATCAATACATACATACAAAAGCATAAATGCATAAGCATATGAAAACGTGAACATATTGTATAATTGTACATGTATACTTACGTATACTTTATATGTATATACGCACACACCTAAATACATCCTCTTATACTCGGACGTATAGATATATAGATCTAGTCATTCATACTGATTTGTTATTTGCTATGGCTTATTTGTTGTTGTTTATTCATTTATGCTTGTTCGCTTTTATTTTATGTTTTTAGTTTGCATTATTTACCTATGATTGCCTATTCAACTTTTTATTTCTGTTTCGTCTTTTCGTATTTATGCTTATATTTGTACCTATTTATTGATTTGTTTATTCATTGAATACAGAAGAATCAGTTGCGGCGTTCAACACTGGTCTTGTGGGATAGGATATGTTGATCCATGACGGGCGTGTCGAGTTTATGTGACTTTGCACAGGTTGAGCCTGACCGTGAATACATTACGTGGGAATATAAGTGAAGGCTACCTTGTTTTGCAATGTTGTGAGTGCGTTGGAAGTGTTTAGGGTTGGTAAAATGTAACTATGTTGAAAAAGAGTGGCTTGAAAATAAGAAGGCCCCACAGAAACCTGCTCTCTCTCTCTCTCTCTCTCTCTCTCTCTCTCTCTCTCTCTCTCTCTCTCCATTTATCAAGATTTATACATATATCATGTGTCTATGTATATCCCTTTTGGTTTTTATATATTTAGATATCTAGGCACTTACCTGCGTATACATATACCTATATATATATACACACATGTACATACATACATGTATATGTACATAGACTTTATATGTAAATATGTATATACATATATATATATATATGTGTGTATACATAAGCAAACATAACCGCCCCA